ACCCTCAGAAGAAACAAGTTTGCTCGTTAACCGCTAAAAAGAACCCGTTTGTCATAGCTCCTCTGTTTCAAGGCACTCCCCTTGTTGCCTCAGCCAGTACCGGAATCCTCGGCGTCGACATATTGAGTGACATGCAGTTTCGTTGTCACTGGGAGGAGATGGCCTAATTGGCGTCTAAAAAGCTTGGCGTGCTCAGTAGAGCGGGACAGTATTTCATGCCGACACACCGCCTGCAAATTTACAAGGCGCAAGTTCGGCCGCACATGGAATACTGTTCCCATCTCTAGGCTGGGGCTCCCCAGCCAGCTACTTCTACTTGACCGCATCTAGCGCAGAGCGACTCGAATCGTCGACGACCGAGTGCTTTCCGATCGGCTCGATTAAATGGCGCTGCAAAGAGATGTTGCATCTCTTTGCATTTTCTTTCGCATATACCACGGGGAGTGCTTTGAGGAATTATTCGAATTAATCACAGCCGCCAAATTTCATGAACGCACTACGCGGCAAACCTGCCGATACCATTAACACAATCCGGATGCTTGGCGGTCCACCACTGTACGTTTCACGACCTCTCTATGGAATAGTTTACCACCGGCGATTTTTCCGGACCGATACGACCTAGGGACCTTCAAGAAAAAAGCTCACTCCTTTCTAAAAGGCCGGCAACGCACCAGCAATTCCCCTGGTGTTGCAGTTGTTCATGGCGGCGGTAGTCACTTAACATCAGGTGAACCGTATGCTCGTTTCGCCCCCACCCCCACCCTTCTATATAAAAAAAACTGGGTTAAACTATAGACATTCAGTACTCGCGTACGGTGGTGGGAGTAGGAGGAGGGAGGGTTCAGGGGAAGACCCCTACTCTTCCCCCTTTGCGGAAATGTATAGTTTATGAATAATTTTTTTTTGTAAAATCATACCTCACTTTTTTACACGGGAATATTGACACAAAGTTACTTTTGCACCGGCTTCGGCACTGCGGGAAGTGCAGCACTTTCACCCCTGCGTAGCAAATCGCAAGCTCCTGAGTGAGCCGCAGCGGCTGAGGCTGGTTGACCAATAAGCCGAAGCTGCGGAGGCTGCTCTCCCTCCGCGCCTACGACTTTACAAAAACACTCTAAGGGTAGGGCAGACAAGACTACGTGAAATCAGGGCGTTTTTGGTTTTAGAACCGATTCGACCAATCGTATCTATAGTCAGGTTGTCCTAAGCTCTGCTATGATAGTCGTAAATAAAATAGTGTAATGTGAATTGATATAATTTTTTAAATCGAGATTTTTTTAATCGTAATTAATTCAAAACGCATTTCCGACATACAAAAACAGTATAAAAGGTTCATGCTTTATCCTGACAAGCTTCCTAATCTGAAAACATAATTAAAATCAAGTACCGGATATCTATAGCCAACCCAAAAACTGACCTGACACCATATTGTAACATCATAGCTGTCATTTAAAACATATTTTTGAAATAATATTTATTTACAAAAAAAAACATGAATGAAAATGTATTAATATAAAACCAGCATTTAAATTTCGCTCATCTCTGCATCATTATCATCACTGCTGCTTTCCCTTATAAAAATATAACATGAATTTATGCAGGTATTTATAAAATATTCTACCGACTAGTATCAACATTTTAAATTCATTTATAAAAATAATTATGAGTTCAATAGATTTGGTTATACCTACTAAGACTGTTAAATAAAGCGAAAAAAAAAAACGTTATTAATATGCAAATTAATTTTCTTTGCAAGCCATACTTTCAAGTGTCAGATGACAGATCGCAGTCATTTGAGGTCTTTGATATTCATTAAAATAAAATAATATACATTAAAATAATATAACAAGTACATGTCCAGAATTGAAAGACAAGACCAGATGTTTTCATATTACCCTTGTGAAAGAATAACTCTACGCTGGTACAAAAAAATTTTTGTGCATATACTTCAAATGCAAGTTTTGAATGCTCACATATTATATAATAGATACTCAGGAAAACATTTGAACATGTATGATTTTCGCATGTCCTTGTCAGAAAAATGGCTGCCACCATTTAACATTGAACCTCCAAACCAAAATAATAGTCACAAATTGGTATAAAATTGGTGCAACAACTGTTGAAAACAAAACATGCACCAGGTAAATTAAGAGTTACCAATTGAATAAAGAGAAAAGTATGTCGCTTTTGTTCGGTTTTTAAAAAATACTAAAACAAAATACTTTCCACTGTTTGTTATGTGAAGGTCAACCTGGATTTTGTAATCAAGATTGTTTTTCTTTATATGAACCAAAGGTATATATTTAGGTACAAATAACTGATTTTTGAGGTTTCTTTTTTCTGTTTTTTGTTTCTTTATTTTTCTTTTTAATGTTCTAAGATTAACATTTTAGTTGTGAGCACCTAAGTCATACCATGAGGCCAATGTAATATGATGTTCCCAAAGTATTGCTCAAATAAATGTAGTATTTTATAATTAATTTGTTTTAATTTGTTTTTTTTTTCACCTAGGATATAAAAATAAGGATAACATGATTATAATGACAAGGAATAGAGTCTATAAGTGAATTTTTGTTTGTTTATTTTGTTGCGCTATTGAGTTGGGCGGCACTATAGTTAGAAGTTCATAATAGCAGTGCCATTAGACTCTGCTTGGAGTCAAACAGCACTCTTGACAAAAACCCAATGAGCAGGGCCGACAACTCCGCATGGGGACTGTCAATTTTGAAGTAATAATAATAATCCGAATAATGAGCAACACACATAAACAACAAGTAGATTGATAAAACATTGTATCTTGATATGAAAATATATTGGCACCCAGAAAAATTTCACCATTGATTGGCAGGCACCAAACCTGTTAAGTCTGCCTACTGTGTAGGAAGGAGGAACAAGGAATTTTAAAATAAATAAATATAATGAATAAAAACTTTTAACAGCCATTGGTATCCCCTCGTCAGAATTCTCGTAATAATTAGAATGGTATATTATGTCTTATTACGAGAAACTTCATGAGATGGATATCTTTAACACTTCTTTTTTGTTTTTACTTCTTCTTTGTTCAGCCATGGACTTTTGAGAGGCGATAAGTAATGATGACGATGATGAGTTTTGAAAATGTTAAAATTATTAAGCAGTTCAATTTAAAAAAAAACCTAATTAATTTTTTAAGTAACTAAGTATAAGTACTTACACAAGTTTTCATTCGCGTTTATTTATAAACTTACCTTTCATTATAATATGTAGCATTACCCACATCGCTTGCTTTGGACATGTGCCTGCTTAGCAAAAACGTGCTGCAGGTTTTAAAATTCTTGATAAACCGAATGCTGAGTTTTTTATCCACCAAATCTAAATCTAAGAAGAATTCACCCACTGGAAGAACTTTACCATAGATAAATAAATATGTAGCAAGTTAAACTTTATCTTTTGACAGCTGTCTTGTCTGTCATGTAATAGTAGTTTTTTTAAGTTTTTTTTAACTGGCTTTACGGCTCTGGGTTCTTGCCCTTCTGAACCTATCATTTCTTTCGGAATTTTAATTTTTATATTCTTTTTCTTCACAATATGCTGATGCGTCACATTGCGAAGCCCTTGGGAGATTTTGACGACAGCTCAACCTAGCGGACAGTTGACAACGAAAGCCACTCAAGTACATGAGGCGCCCAAGCGATCAAAATAACTTGAGGTTTATATCGACATCAAAGCACTTGTTTCGTCGTTTTCTCTAATAGTTCACTCGCTGAAACACTTAATTTACAAAATCACATCACCTTTATGAATCGAAATCCACTTCAAACCATTATTCAAGCGACAAAACAGGAGTGACAGTCCGTTGACGGCTAAGTTCCCACCAAAACTCCTTGGTTTTGATTATATACCTGTCTAGTATGAAGTGTAGAGGTAAGGAGTACAGACTGTGTTTTAAAAAGTCTCCCCAGAAAACCGTTAAATAAGGGTGGCGTCACTATAGCTACAGTCTAAATTTTAAAGTACTTTTTATAATTTTTTATTGCATAATAGATTTTCACCATAATTCTTTTTACAATAATTATTTTATTGCTTCCAAAATTTTTATTTTCAAAATATTCTCATACTCAATGTATTTTAGGGCGATTTATCATACCCTGTAGCTACTCAAGCGCTGTCGTGGAGAGTTTTTGAACTGTTATTTACTATTTACATCTCCTTCGTGGTTATTTTTTTTATGGTACGTCGAATTTGTATATATAGAACTCAGTAAGTCCAATAATTACCAACTTCGATTCGATTAAAGAGCACCAAAGTCCGTCGCTACATGCTAAAGCATAGCTCGCCTGTCCACACCTGTCCATGAACTGCCATCGGTAAGTAGTGTAACTTAAGTGGCTGTCGTCATCAACTGTCCGATAGGTTTTCCTGCCATCAAAATCTCTCAAAAACTTCGCAATGTGACGCATCACCATATTATGAAGAAAAAATATATAAAAATGAAGATACAAATATATAAAAAAATGATAGGCTCATAAAGGCTAGAACCCAGAGCCGTAAAGCCAGTTAACAGTTAATTAAAAAATTATAAAGTTGTAGAACATTGTCAGTAATCAATGGTTGTTGAGTTCTCAGCTCAGCTTTCAGCATAGATTACTCTCTAGTATATAGTCAGTAATCTATGATAGATTATTGCGTATATTTGCTACATATTTATTTATCTATGGCGTATATACTAGAGAGCCCTACATATTTATTTATCTATGTAGAGAGCTTTCAGTTTCCAATGTTATGATATAAATCAGAAATTATTTTTACCAAATAAAATATACTCAAAAACATCTCATAATCGAAATTGAGTTCGAGTCACTAGTTTAAAATCTATAAAAATACAAGATATTATCATTTAGGCATTATTTATAAATTTAAATTGCGACGAAGACATACTTATGGCTTCATTAAAAATGAATTTTGATAAAGATTTTGTTATGGAATTATTTTTAGACGATAGTGTAACCACAGTTAATAAGATGGTAGTAGCTATTGCGAACGTCATACATGAGAATAACGAAAATATTAGTACTTTTGACGAAATATTCATTAGAGAGCAAAATCGTCAATTATTATGGAAGTCAAAACGAGCGCCAAGGAAATTTACAGTTGCATCGAATTTCAATGACTTTTACGAAAATACTGTAGTTAATTTTACTGAAGAGGATTATCTTGAAAAGTTTAGAATGAAAAAGAGTACAGTACAGGTAATTGGTAAGAGTATTAACTATATGACTTAGACATATTACAATCGTAAACTATTCAGTCATTCGACCCAGGTCGAGCAATGGTATTACCACACTACTAGATTGATCGTTGATCTATGCCATTGATTGAATTCAATCGATGTCGATCGATTGGTGTGGTAGCTTTAGCTGATTGATGGATACTGGTTGATAAAACTCATTTTCACTCATCGGTTGACAATTAATTGATCTGGTTGTAGGCTCATCATCAGTATCTTGCAGTTGGTGGAGGGTTGCGGGTTCTGGAATAATCGAACAGCTCGATCAATGTTGACCAATCCATTCTACCATTGATCGAACGGTGTGCTAGATACTGTTGAATATTGTTAACTAATTCATTCCACCGTCTATCTATGCCGTTAACAATCAATCAATGTTATCTATCAATTGGTGTGATAACACCCTAAGAATTGGTGATTGCTATTTGTTTTTGTATTTGTAACAATCTGAAACAAACAATTGACTGAACCTTTTCAAACTGAGACCTGTGATCTTGTGTTTTGGTTATTTTCTCAAATTTAAAATGTAATAATATAATGTGCATAGGCTTCTTACATTCAACATAAATGTGATAGTCATTTTACAAAACTATATGAATATTGAAAGTTCATAACACTGTACAATGAATAATACAACAGTAAAATGTAATATTTGTTTGTGTTCATTCAAAACTGGATGACCTGTGCTTATGACTGAGGAGCGATGGCCAACATGATAGATTGGGTCTCACAAATGACAGGGACTACTCGTCGCCTCAGTGCTTGTTAGGCCAATAGACCATTTGAGTAATTTTACAGGAGCAATGTTTTTTTGTTTTTCTATGCTGTGACTCAATAAAGTCGTAATGTACGGTAAAAACTTCTGACACACCTTCACTTTTTGCTCATTTTTCAAAAAGAAGTACTGAAATGAGAACTTTCTTCTGCTTCTGTTCTTTTCCTTTATTACCGTATATGTTAATTCGTTGTAATATTTGTTAATCTGGGTATTGTTTAACGAATTTTCAACTTTTCGTCACATACAGTGTGAACCTGTTTTGCTGGACATTTTTTCCCTTTGATATTTGAATATTATTCACCAGCTTCTCTTCTTTTTCCTTGCAATTATCTGCCAATTTCCTTTTTCTCTTTCTTGAGGAGTTTTGTTCTACAACATTCGCAGCGTCAACATCATCAGCGTCAGCATTACTGTTAATATGATAGATATTTCTAGTTTTAGTTCTGAACTACCAGGGCAAACTATGTAATTTTTTACTGGTGTTATAGCACATTTTTCGGTGAATGTTGGTTCGCCTTCTTCTTCATAATTTAGAGCGTGTCCGCTGCTGTTGCTGCAAGAAATGATATTTTTTGCGCAGTCCACGGTAAGTAATTCATTACCTTCTTCAACATTTTCAGTTTCTTTACAGGCCATGAATAACTTTTTCTTCACTCTGTCAACCCTTATAAAATAAATTTTTAGTTTTTATTATTTACAATTTATATTATAGTTTAGGTAACATTTTAAGCTTCTTCAAATAGTTATTTTTACTCTACTAATATTATAAATGTGAAAGTTTGTGGAGATAGATAGATGGATGTTTGTTACTTTTTCACGCAAAAACTACTGAACAGATTTGGATGTTACTTTGCACCCGGATGGCTTATATACTGGATAATACAGGTAACTTTTTTATCATGAAACTGCAGGGTGAAACTAGTAATTTAAATTTTATCAACCTATACTTTTTCGATTATAAACTTACGGTTCTTTTTATTTTTAACCGACTTCCAAAAAGGATGAGACTATGTATTCGATGCGTATTTTTCGTTTACAAGTGATCCTCAGGTATCTTGGTTTCCTAGTATCAGGGCTATAAGTAATTCTATCATGTTATTGTGATTTCTTTGTCAAATAAGTTATTTTGTATTCATATTTCTTTGTATTACTAGTTGTGCTCCACAGTTTCACCCGAATAAGTCCCGTTCCCGGAACACTGGAATAAAAAGTAGCCTATGTTCTTCTTCAGAGTTTCATCTATTTGTGTACCAAATTTCATCAAAATTGGTTCAGTGATTTAGGCGTGAAAGTTTAACAAGCATTCAAACAAACTCACTTTCGCATTTATAATATTAGTACCTAAGTACATTTATAGACTCAGTTAAACATATTAAAAGCCCCTAAACATCCCTCAAATCCCTTCCAACCTTGAATAACTTAATAACGCCTTCAAACGCATATATAGCAAATAAATAAACTAAACAAGGGAACAGAACAAACAAATGCGTAGTTCCCGTTCCCATATGAAAAGTAAAAATATCCATTGAGAAAAGATATCCCAAATTATTTAGTATCAAATTAACTATCTTTAAGTGAAAATCGCGTCTAAATCGGTCCAGCCGGCCCAGAGATTCATCCGTTCGAAAAAATCAACAAACTCTTCAGCATTGTGAGTATGACAGAATGACAAAAGTATGATTCTGAACCACCCTGTATTACAGACTCAACGTGACCTAAAATAATACCGCAATGACTAAAATCAACTTACATTTCGTAGTATGCAGTATTGTGGTTATACTGTTTATCACAACTGGTCCAGGACGTAACTTTCAAAGTAATGGAAAGAATTTCCACCTCGTTTCACTTTTAATTCACTGAAAAACTTAAAAAATCTTGCAGTTCTGACACCATTTTCGTCGCGATATATTGTAACTAAATAATGTGGCGGAACAGCGAGGTGTGACGTCATGAGCGAGCAGGCCTGTGATTGGTTTTAATTTGAGGATATACGGCAAACAAGCATGCGCTGGGAATTCCGCTATTGGAATGTTGGTTCATTTGTGGTGGTAAGCCATACAAGCACGAAAATTAAAATTGTAACTGTGGATATTGGTTTTTTAATATAGTCTTTTACTCGTTTATTGGTATAGTTACATGAGTCATTCTTGATTTAGATTGTGTAGAATTTGATTCCTAAGCATACTACATTCAAAGGTCATTTTCGTCCAAATTGGTCTGTTGGCCAAACAAGCACTGAGGCGACGTTATGGAATCATAATGACCCAGTTAGTATGATTAATTCAATCTTGAAGGATTGGGTCACTATATATGAATGATTGACACATGTCCAATCAGATTCGATAGAAAATTATAATTAAAAAAAATGTTATTGTGAAAGGCTCAATATTTGAAAGCTTTATTTCAACATATGTTCATCTTTTGAGGTCCCTAAAGTTTATTTTTTATGTCAATTTTGTATGTATTTTGCCATGCTGCAGCTATATTATAGTTGAACAATGAATGGATTTGCTTGACAGGGGTAGAACCACTCTCACAGAATACCAGCATACTCGTAAAATAGCAACTTAATGTTGCTGTCTTTCATATGGTGAGATCATGATGGCTTAGAGAGCTGGTGAACCTTTATAGTGGAAACAAGGCATTCAAACTTAGTCCTCAAAGGTGACAAGGCATCTGCATTCTGATTCTTAAAAATAAATATGGATGTCTATGGGCCACAGCATACACTTACCATCAGGTGGCCAGTGTGCTCATTAGTCCACCTTTAAAAACATATATTAAATGGTGGTAGGTGTGATTTGGTTTGCTACACTATTAACACCTCATTTAGTTATTAATAGTGAGATTTTTAGTTTCATAAACTGCTGTATTGTATTTAAAAAAAAATGTTAAATAGATCTTTAAGCAGTCAGGATATATAATCATTGTTAATTTTTTAAGTTTTTGATAAATTTATCTAATAGTAATTACAATAAATATCAATACTTGAATTATGTAGAATAGTAAAATAGCAGACTAATGCTGTGCTCTTTCATTTGGTGAGTGTAGAGAACTGGAGACTCTTTAACTGGTAATGGGTATTTCAATCTTAGTATTCAGTTGTGACAATGCACCTGCATTTCGATTCTCAATGGAGGATATTAAGGCCGCAGCATCCACTTACCACCATGTGGATGATTTGCTCACTTGGCACTCTTATTCTATAAAAAATCTCATTAATACAATTAATTAATTAAAAAATTATCATATTTATCTTAAGTGTGTCTAGTTATTTATTTTCAGTTTGCTGTGTGTAATTTAATCAATGTTATTTGGGTGATTCTATGTAAAGACTTAGGATGTCCTTTTTTATTTTCTTTTTATTGGGGACAATCACTGAATTTCTCTACCATATGATTTTGATTATATTATTATGATGGAATTTATGTATTCATATCTTCTCTGGACATTCTTTCTCTAAACTTGGTGACTTATAAATTAGAGAAAACACTTTTTATGAGAATACTGAGATGATCTTTATAGTATTTCTTGTATATTTAATAACAAATAATAATATATGCAAAAATTACAGTAAATCTTCATTTTTATAATGGTGTAGTGGCGGTGTTAGAATAAATATCCCATATGTTCATCCATTACAGTCTAAAATTCCACTGCTGGATCTGATAAGGCCTCCCCATAGTTTGCCTTATAGGAAGGATTTCGCCATAGTTGCCACGTTTGGCAGGCGGGTTGACAACCGCAAGTTAGCAGGTAGATGCTGCTGCTCATCTCCTGTTTTGATACCCTTTTGTTGATTTTGACGACATCTACCGAATGATATTAGATAGCGGATTATTTTGCGGGGAACAGTTAATAACTTCATGGACGAGGATACTCTTTATAACGGAAGTGAACCGACAATTCAGTGATGGAATTATCGTCTGGACACGATTAGTGATCGATAAATGCGATTGACTTCATTATGACGCCCAGATGGCAACAGTTCAGTGATGGCTCAGTGATAGCGTCCTTCAGGTCTTCTATTCCGTTCTCCAGGGTGGAACCATTTCTAAGGCTTGGAGCAAAAGTGCTGTGGTCTTGTTTTTTTAAGAAAGCAATAAAGCTGAAGGACTGTAGACCGATTTTCGTTATGAGCCACGTTTATGCGCTGATTTTGAGAGTACGAATCATCTTGCACGCAGACTCGAAGACTTCTAGCCTCCTGAATATACCGGTTTCCGAAAAGACTTTAGTACCATGGACCACATACATACCCTGTGATAAATTGTACAGAAGACCGAAGAGTATAATCTGCCATTTTGCCTGGCGTATGTGGACCATAGTCCACAGAAAGAATTTGATTTCGTAGAAATTTGGGTCAAGTTGACTGTCGGTAGTACTACTATCGAAGTGCTGAAGCGATAGTACTGTTGGGGCTACGATAGATATGCGAGTGGAATCATAGCACGAAACCTACACAAATGCAGAGAGGTGTTAGACAGGGTAACGTTATAACCCCGAAACTGTTCACCGCTGAATTTAACGAAGTTTTAAGCTACTGCACTGGAAAGGTTAGATAGAAAATTCTTTATTGCATTCAAAATAATTGGTACTCATATAAGGGCGAACTTAATGCCGAAAAGGCATTCTCTGCCAACTAACTGTTGGTAGTATGGTGATAGCTATATTTAGAATCGCAACAAAAAAGCTTATTTTAACATACTATTTAAAATGATAATCTATATATATTGCTTATCTTTCTATAAATACACAGATATGTATGATGTATATAAGCCAATCTAGAGATATAAAAAATGGCGTGCCTCAGGGCAGTGTGTCGGGTCCGTTATTATTTTTAATATACATTAACGATGTCTCAAGAGCAATAAAACACAAAATGGTTCTCTTTGCTCACGATAGCACTGCAATTATTGAGTGCACTAATCCTAACAATTACCAAAACGAAATTAATAACTATATATGTGAAATTATAAAGTGACTTGACAATAACAATTCGATAATAAATTTAAACAAAACTAAAATAATGCATTTCCATCAGCGTCGTGTATATCCAACTATTTCTGTTACATACAATAACTCTTTGATAGAAGAGGTTACCAGTAATAAATTTCTAGGTATAATTATAGACAATAAACTCACTTGGAAACCGCACGTAGAAGATATGTATGCGCATGAGTAAAGCCGCATACGTACTTTTTCAATTATCAAAAAGAGTGAATATTGAAACATTACTGATAGCGTATCATGGCTTAGTAGATTCAATTCATCGATACGATGTTATTTTTTGGGGACAATCAACTGACTGCTCAGGTTGCAAAAACGCTGTATTAGATCAATCCGTAGTCTACAATCGACAGACAGTTGTGTACCTTATTTTAAATCATTAAAATTGTTAACTATCCGGCACTACACATTTTAGAAACTGCACTTGTAAAAAGAAACCAACACTTATTTACTAAATTATCAACAGTCAAGAAAACTTCAATACGTACTCAATACTTAATCAATTAATTAATTTAAAATGTAAGACTGCCTTAATGCACAAAAGCTTCTTCGGACTTGCTCCTAAAATGTTCAACAAAATTCCAAACGCAATTCAAATAATGCCACTGTTAAAATTTAAAACAGAATTGCAAAAACTTCTCCTTGACAAATGTTATTATACAATAGACAAGTTTATAAACGATACATTATAATATTATTAATCTTATGCTCGCAATTTGTTATTAGTTTTATCTAATTTTATGAATATTATTTAAAACTATTTAATTTGTGAAAATATTTGTATGTCTTACCACAAAACACAACGCTCTATGAAATGTATAACCACCTATTTTATTGTATATTTATATATGTTGTATGTAGTTCTGATTCTGATTCTGGTGAATTTTTTTTGTTTGAATGGGTCCGTAGGTAGGTATTGATATTGACATTTGGATCCGGTAGGTACCGCTATTGTCGAGATCCAGAAATCACCCGTGCGAAGCCGGGCGGATCGCTAGTGCAATATAAATATTATATTACTTTTAGTACATTAGTTAATACAAATATACATACATATACTGTTCCCATAAAATACATACAATAAAGTATGTGAATAACAAATAAGTGTGATAGTTATATATACTCAAAGCAATCATATTAATAAATGAATTTATAGAGCCAGCTTTTTCAGAAGGGTTAATTACAGAGATTAATTGATGATACCGTAAAAGAATCGGAATAGTATGTAGATTTAGGCACCGGGATAGTTAGAGTATTGTTAGGCATCGAATGCGATAAGCCTAAGTATGAAAAACGCTCTATCAAATAAGTTGGGGGCCAGGGATTGTGAAGAATATCATACAAAGTGTACGAGTGGAGACGAAAAAGAAGATCGAGCCACTTATCTTCAATTCCGAGCTCCTCAGTTATATCTGTGTGGCGGCGTTGTCTAATTTTCCGGACCACATTAACTTGACGATATCAACATCAATGGCGAGTACATCACTCAGTTTGATTGTCCGTCCGACAATATAGGCTTTGTGGCAGAATCTTTGCCGGATCTCAGTTCAGTACTATGCTCATTGCTCAATGACCTAAATAATTTCTCACAACGGATAGGTCTTAAGATCGATATGGGCAAGGGTCATGTGTAATTTTCATGTTACATCGATGCCAGTGGTTGTTGAGAGCACTACTCTCGAAGTTGTTGACGAGTATATTTACCTAGGACTAATTGTCGCATTAGGTCTTAGACCTACATGGTCTAAGTATTAGGTAAGTGTCACCCGTACTTATAAAAATTACTATGATGTCTCACAGTGCACTCGAACGCACAGGGTATAGAAAATTTAATCATAACACTGGAGGGGTTGAACGCTTAGACCATTCAACCCAATGTCTTAGCGTTGAACGATACTTCCACAGAGTAAGGAGTAAGGACTTCTTTACTCATGTGACTATGAGTTCATTATGATTTATAATGAACGCACAGCTAAAGTAGCTTTGTTACGCATAGTGCGAACAATCAACACAATTGTACTAGTAGATTGTTTTGTAGGTTGCCTCCTTCCTTCGCACATTGTTCCCTGATTTTTGTCGGTTTTATGGCGCGCGTCAAAAAATGCGCGAAGAGGGGAGTTAGTAGGAAACTGCTCCTTACTACTGGCTCCAAATTATACATCGCTCAGTTTAGTGTCATCTCAGTTGATTATATTTAGTATTTTATAGATTAATATCACTTAACCAAGAATAAACAACTTTGTAACAAAATCCTCATTATTCAATTATCTAATTATAGAAATATCTTTATTCTAATTTATTTAAAGATATCTATCAAAATCGAAAGTTTCTTTAAGCTAAGATGGAATACAACTTTGATCCACAATTTTCGTTTTGTCCACCATATAATGTGTATAACTGGAGAAGTAACAACGCTAAACACTTCGACGTACTACAGAAATGCTTGTCGTGGCCGCTGAAACTACTCTCTTAACATAGAATCGCCCATTTAAGAGCATGTCTTATTATCATTACCATTACTGTAAATTATTAATTTCTTTTTCAGGCACTAATAAGTTATTTACAGGATTTCATGAAATCAGATTCCACAGTCGTACCTATAGACAAAAAAGTGCATATCTTTTTATGGCTTTTAACAAGTGATGACTCTTTTAGTGAGGTAGCGACATTGTATGGTTTGCACAAATCATCTATAAGCTATATCTTCTATGAGATGGCATCAACGCTGTGTAAACTAAGATACGATTTCATCAGTTGGCCTTCTCTAGAGGAGCAACATATGACTAGAATAAAAATAAACAGTAGACATAAATTTCCTAATTGTGTCGGCTTAATTGATGCATGTCGATTTAAAGTGGGTGCTAAGAAAAACAAGAAAAATTGTACAGAAATTATACTTCTGCAAGCCGTTTGTGATGAATCCCTTATGTTTATTGATATACATATTGGTAAAATTGGAGATACTAGGAAGAGCAAAGTTTTTCGAGACAGCCAACTTGCTCAAGAACTTAAAAATTTTATAGATTTCGAAAATCACATACTTGGTGATTCTAATTATAGGTTGCGCAAAAACCTAATAACACCATTTTCAAGTGAAGAGCTGTTAACTATTGAGGAAATGAAATTTAATGATGTTCATTGGAAGGCTCGGTCTTACATTGGTCATGCATTCGAATTACTGAAAGAACGATTTAAGAGATTAAACCACTTGAATATCAGTAAAATAGAGTCTATTGACACCGTCATTTGTGCAGCTTGTGTTTTACATAACTTTGTAATACTGCATGAAGGTTGTTCTGCAATCAAAGATGAGGCTGTAGTTTGTGATGATGGTGTAACTATTGATACAAATATTGTTAAGACCGCAATTGAGAAGCGTCAATTTTTATGTAACTATATAAGTTTTATTAACAATAGTTGATGTAATGTTTTATGACCGATTCAGTTGTACCAAAAAATAAACATAACCTATAATTTTCAATATATGCTAGCGATTCTATTTAGCGTTAAGGTCTTAGGTGACTTAATATTTTGTAAAACATGACCTAGATATGTGGCATTTTAGAAGATGGTTCTTTAGCGCAAAAGACATAATATTGGTGGTTTTGAAATGGCTGATGCTCAGCTCAGGATGCTGCACCTGTATGAAATATTTGGATCAAGGATATTTACATTGGACACATAAGACCTAATGTGCATTGTTCATTGACGTAACTTGAATATTTTTTCGATCTGGCCGAAACTGTGAAAAGAGTTTGGTAAAATAATCTCTTATGGTCATTGATAGGAATATATCGCGTGTGAGTTGCCTATACAATTATTGGTAGTAGGCTGTTTGTCAATTTCTTGTAATTTCATGCTGTATTAATTGATTTTTAAAAATTTCTTTATTTTGTTTCCATTTTTTTGTTCTCTAAATCTACATAAAATCTACAAAAACGTTTCGATACGTCTATATGTGGTAAGGTCCTGAACCACCTGCATGTATGGACTGATGTCTGCGTGTTTCATCAGGTTGTCACTGCATCTAGTGAGGAGCCGCCCACCACTCATATAAAACTGAAATTTAAAATTACTGAAATGGTATAAGAGGTATTTGAATCACTTTGTAGAATGAAATTAGTTTCACGGATTTTATTGACTTTTATCGTCTCATTTTCATAGCCACGGCTAACTTCAGTTTAGAATTATTAATTTTTGGTCCGTTTTATACAGAAAGATCTTAAAAGTACAGTGGACCACCGGTAATCCGGCACCCTCTGTAATCCGTCATGGTCTATTATTTATTATTGATTAACTTCGACAAACTTCGCTAATGCATGATTGAAAAAGTTATCTTACACTGTAGGTATTCGTTGAAATAATACTAATTTTTACGGAATTTATCGCGTATATTTAACTTTTTTACCCGACGTTTCGAGAGCTTTACAGCACCCATGGTCACGGGAAGGACTGAGATGTTCAACGTCCAGCTGTCATAGTTAACCGCGGTTACCATAGATAAAAATTTAACTTTTGTTCCGATCTACACAGTATGATGATATAAATTTTTATCTATGGTAACCGCGGTTAACTATGACAGCTGGACGTTGAACATCTCAGTCCTTCCCGTGACCATGGGTGCTGTAAAGCTCTCGAAACGTCGGGTAAAAAAGTTTAATATACGCGATAAATTCCGTAAAAAATTAGTATTATTTCAATGTGTAGTGTTCGCGTAAATATAAGAAATCATTATATAGGTATTCGACTATTGTTTTGATTCTGATAGAAAAATTTGATTCTGAAAATGTTTGAAAGATCATAATTTTCCTCAAAAAGCGTTATTGCTTTTTGATAACGCTTAAATTGATGCTTCTTAAATTGATTGTTTCATAATTTTGATTATTTTAGTATGTCCATTTCTTTTGTACGCAATTATTTTCTAATGTCTACATTAGGATTATTGTATATTTTTTGTAATTTCTATAGCATTAATGACTTTAATTTTATAATAAAATGTAATCTCTCTATTGTGTTGTTTGATTTACTATATTTGACATACCTACATAATTTATTTTTATTCTTTATTCCATCCTTAAACAAAAGAATATAAAATAAAGGCCGGACTTAATGCCTTGAAGCATTCTCTACCAGTCAACCCACGGAGTAGTGAGAATTTGATGTACTTAGGTGTAGCAATGTAGAATAAAATAACACAAAACAAATGATAACTAACCACATAATATATACATACTACTAATAAATAAACTATACATGCATATCTTCGATCAATAAGATTATTTTAAATTAGAGAGTTGTGTTGTTTATCATCTTGAACATAAATTGTATAATAAAGTACTAACAATATTCCTTGAAATTCAAGAAAACATCCTGGAAAACTAATTACTAATGATGCCGCTAAATAGCAGTAGTTGCTTTATAGTGATCCCATAGAGTAATTAGCCTGATAATTCTATGAGTGATCCATTTTGGCGTTAACTGTAACTAACTAACGCCAATTACTTGATCGTAGATGCATATACATACAAATATACATATATAAATACATACATAATTAGTACATACAAAAATGACTATGAATATATACTCGTACGTCTGTTTAGCAATGCATATTAAATGGTATGTCATGTAAAATGCGTTGTCCTTAATAGATGTTCACGGAGCAACTTTTTAAAAGCGTGCTTATTGGGTGCTTTTCTGATGTCATCGGGCAAGGAGTTCCAAAGGCGTGTGGCCTGAACTGAAGGAGTTACCATATAACTCTATGTAGTGAACAGGAATACAGATTTTGTTGTTAGAAGAGCGTAGGACCCCATCATGAGATGAGGAAAGATAATGAAATTTACTCTTAAGATAAGAAGGCAAAGATGGGTCTTTTAATATGGAAAAAAGTACAAGCGATATTCTGGAGTTGCGCCTCTGCCTGATTGTAAGCTAATTTAGCTTAGATCTATATTGCGAAATATGGTCATACTTACGAAGCCCAAAGAAAAATCTTATAAAGTTATTGAGGAGACGTTCCAGCTTCAGAAGATCTTGGGACAGGTCTGGGTAACACACATCTGCATAATCAATTATGAGAGAGCATAACGTAACTCTGAAACCTGAGTTCTCCAATTCAGCGTGCTGTCGATGTGAAGATTTTTAACTAGAGTTACTGAACGGAATTATAGTAATATCCTAATAAATATATTTTTTACGCGGACTTTTTTTGTAGGTAATAATGAGTACTTCAATCATGTAGCTCATAATTTTTATGTATCATAAGGTTTTCTCAGCGCACTCCCAATAATGAATTTTATAGGCAAAATTTTGCTACTTTGGGTTACAATTTTCATAACGATCTCCAATTTTTTTGAAAATAAATTATACCCTATGTTACTTTGTGATAACTTAGTTTTCTATTGGTGAAAAATTTATTAAAATCGGTCTAATGGTTTCGGAGCTTATTCGATACAAACAAACAAAAAAATCTTTCTTCTTCATAATATTAGTAAAGATAATGAATTTGTTTGTTATTATTTTTTACTTATTTAATTATTTTTAGTTCTTTTTTAATTTTGATTATTTTATTTTTATTAGAAATATTATTATATTATTTGTAAAAAGATAATATCTTTACCCGAACCCGGGTTACCCGCGTTATATAACAGAACGCGAGTAACCCGGGTTCGATCCCCGCATTCACCAATGAAATTGTTAATTGCAATTTTAAGTGCTGATTTACCGCGTGATCGAAAACACGGTGAAGGAAAACATCGTGAGGAAACCTGCATGTCTGAGGTAAAAGAGAAAAAAAATTTCGAAGACATGTGAATTTCGCCAACATTTCCTTGCACTAAAACCCTTTCAGAAATGAGGGGAGGCCTGTGCCCAGCAGTGGGACGTATATAGGCTGTATTAGAAAAATATAAGCCATTCAATTTATTGGTTCAGAGCTTCCCTGCAAACGATATTTGAAGTTGTTTTATTTTGTGGCAGCAAAATATTCTCGGTATATGAGGTACCAGTAGGTAGTTGACCAGCTGATAGGCTGGTGATGATGGTCGCTATCCAGAAGGGTTTAGTGAATTTAAAAATTCCTGTGGGTAATGAACTGCGTCTTTGGTATTAGTCACCGTGTCGATTGATTTGTAATTTTTTATTTGGGACTTTTTGAATAATCAGATTGTTTAATTCGTTGACAGTAGATATCATTCCTAGGCAACACTATTACACTAGAACACAACCAATGAAAGTCCTTTTTGTGCAAATTCTCGATGTCAGGGTATACGGCATCTATTTAAATTTCACATTTATGAGCTATTTGGCCTAGAGACTCGTCCAGAACGACGTCACAATTTCTGCTTAAATTTGGAGTGGTAAAAATTTCTTCCCCAAGTTTTAGCAGTTCTTGTGGGAAACCACTATCTGTGATTCCATGAATATGAGCGCTCATATTTGTCCGTAATTTTCAATTTTCAATCGATGTCCATAAGGGAGACGATTTCAAGCATGCTTTGATGATATCTGCTCGCGTACCTCTGTTAACGACGGGAAGAGTCTGTCGGAAATCTCCTGCAAATACAAAAGTGATCCCGACCATGAGAGCAGAGGAGGTTCTTAGATCTTTTAAGGTTCTGTCCACGGTCTATATGGTGCATTCATCCTACATAATCAATGAGGCGTCTTGTGGTAATTTACCAAGAGGCCCATTTTTGCGGATAGAACATGTACATTGTTGCTCAAGAGTTACGGATAGCGGAAGTTTAAAAGTAGAATGAGCAGCTTTTGCATCTTTTAAGAGAGTTGCTGCAATTCGGACGAAATAACTGCTACCGCTATCTTCCCCGATCGTCGCATCTTAGCAAGTATTAAATGGGGAGCGCGAACTTCGAGAAAGACGTCAACGCGGATGGTTGCTGAATTAACAAAGATTTAAAAAGTGAAAAATTTACTTAAATTACATGATTAATGTAATTGGTGGTTATTGATGGTACGGGCACTGATATAGCCTTGAATACGAGTGATTTACTTGAATATAACGATTAATACCAAGGTACGAATAATGTGGCCTAGTTTGTACCGGCGTTACTATTGCATATATTAACATGAAAAAGTAGTTATTGTGACATAACTGTAATAGTTAGACAAATGGTATTACAGGTTTTTTTGTAGATATTGATATCTTCTATAAAATTGTAGTACATCACTTTGCTCTATCATCAATACGAGATCACTAGCGCTCCTGTAAGGGTTGTGTTAGTTTAAAAAGGGCAACATCGCTTTGAAAATAAAAACTATTCGAAGCAATGGGAATGATATTTTGCCTTGTCGCTTGAACTCTCCCAGCTGGTAAAACAAAACTAGAAACCTGCTGATACCGATCCGGAGAGATACCTACGATTTCTTAAGTGTTTCTGGACACTGTCTGATGAAATACGTGTCGTTATTATTTTTACTTAATTCGGTAATTTTAGTTTATTAATTTAGTCAGTAAATTGGGATTAAGTGCGGTAGTTATACACATCTTAGCACTGGCGGCAGGTCGCTTCTCCTTCGAAGATCTATCGAGCTGCGCAGACGCTACTATCGATGTGCTACGTCAAAGTATTATATAAGTGATAGTAAAGTTCCCAATAGTTTAACGCCGAATGCGCCAGCGCTGAAAAACACTAGCATATGGCGTGATTATCCTAGCTCGATGATGCTCGAGACCTCAAAGCTGCGGATATTATCCATAACAAAAGAGCCAAGCCAAGCCGATAAGTCCTGTGAAAAGCAGTATGGCAAATCAGTTTCGGTTGCAGAATGACCTCCTCAATGGCCACCAATACGGGTTTCGCTAAAATCTGTCAACTGGATTCTCTGGTATGCCACTCACATATGTCAAATTTAAACGCGGTAAAGCCACGCTGCAGCTATATTATGGTGCGATTGCTACTTTGGCGACTTAAATGTAAAAGTGAATAAAGACTTATGTTACGCTAAGACAGTGTAATTTACCATCTCGGGAATCATCACCACTTACCACCAGGTGAGATTGTAGTCGTGCACTGCTTTATAGTAAATAAAAAATTACATTCATGTTTATCGAAATAGCATTAAGCGAAAATTACGTAATTTCAAGGGACAATCTACTTGCCCGAAGATGATACTAAAGGTCGCGTGAAACAACTATATGTGTAGAAAATTAATTTTAGGTGAACTCTCATTGGAGTACTTTCACTGGAGGCTTGGAGCTCCATGTGAAGCTCTATTTATTTATTTGTTTCGATATTTTCTGCTTTAATAGTTAGTTACAGCATATATACGTCCCACTGCTGGGCACAGGCCTCCCCTCTTTTATGAGAGGGTTTTAGGGCAACGAAGTGTCCGCCGCGCTTCCCCACTGAGCGTTGGCGAACTTCACATGTCTTCGAAATATTTTTTTATTCCTCAGACATGCAGGTGTCCTCACGATGTTTTCTTTCACCGCCGAGCACGTGGTAAATCAGCACTTAAAATTGTAATTAACAATTTCATTGGTGCCGGCGGGTATCGAACCCGGGTTACTCGCGTTCTGTTAATATTTACAGCGAGCGTTAACCATCTGAGCTACCACGGCTCTCTGCTTTAATACAATGGTATTATTGATGTATACTGTATAGGAAGAAAATTGAAAAATACAAGAATATTTAAATCGGTTTATTTAATATAAAGTATATAAATAATACATAATCTTGAAGTACAATATTCTTCTGATTGAAATTTTAATGTTGCGTGTAATAGATTTTTATACGTTTCAATTCTAATATTTTTATAAAATATTGGTAAAATCATTTTTTAAATATAAAGTAAGCTTTTTAACAATTTAATCTATAATAAAGTTTTTTCTACAGTTTTGTAGAAAATAAATACAAGCAATTCCTGCTTAACTTAATAAACTTTGATTGTTTTACGGTGGGAACACTCCTAATTTTTTAATCTCTGGTGGTGATTTCAGCCTAGTGTTTGAATTCCCGATTTGGGTCACTCAATATTATTTATAGGATAAATATAGTAGACATCGAAGTACTCATAGTATATCGACGAAATGTTTATGAGAATAAAATGAATAAAACTAAACACAAAACGAGCAAATTAATATGATTGTATATGTAAAATAAAATATTACGCCAGTCTTACATTTTGAGGGCATGTTATCTATGTACAAAGCAGATTTAACTAACATCGTATCGTCATTTTCGAATTAATAAAAACAGAAGTCATATATCATAACAGGGGACTAAATCTATTATAACTTTTTATGATGTATTCTAAAATACATTAGGCACTAAATTGGCAACCTACAAGGCACTATGCACTTAGCACAGCAATTAACTATTTAATCATAATGTCATATTTAAAAAAAAATAAGTAAGTAAAATTATTCGTCGAATATTACAGGCCACAAATGTATGAAATAAATATTACTGCTTCGCAATATTTCGTATGCATGAACTATGATACATAAATAAATGTTAATACATACATACAATTTATTTGCCTAATTTTCGTCAAGTGGGACTATGTCGACCACGATGCCTCCTACCTTCCGATCTCATTATATACATATTTATATTTACAAAGAGCTGCACTTTTATCATAATTCCTAAGTATTTATTATAACATGGAATGTAAGAAGTAAATATTCAATACTGCAACGATGAAACATGCACATTGATAGGAATCTTCTTATACAATCATTGTTATACAACTTATATTGCAAGTCATAACCCAGAAATGCCCATCGTTTATTAACAGCATTAAATATTCACACAAAGTTTCCACCACATATCGTAATAGTGATTTCCAAATTGTTATTTTATGACATGTGGCTTCAGATTAAAATACTGAAGGAAATTGTAACTATATTAAGTTCTATCGTCTAAATGTAATCTTTAACTGCTCGAACAAAACAGAAAATAAATTTCACTACATACGCAAACTGTACAAAAGTATTACGAAAACGCAATATTTACAGTAAATAAAAAATCGTCACCATTCGAACACTGTTCCAGACAGTCACTCAAAACACTTGGCACACGACGCACTCGTATTGTCATTATCACTTTGCAATGGAACCATAAAATGTCTGTTGTAGATTTCAAATATAAGTCTTTTTAACTTTCTGTAGTGTGCCGCACTTGAGGTCCTTATCGAGGGATTCGGTGGAATTTCTTAGGTCTAGAGCGCGGTCTTTGCCGAGCTCTAGGTGCAAATTGTCCTGCTTCACTAAAGGGCCGACGTTTGCCACCATATTTACGTTCTTAGAGCGAGGCGGCATGTACCCGGAGTTGACGTTCAACGGTGTCTCCAATGGACTTAATCTGAAATAGCAATTGCTGAGATGTTATTGTAATATTAATGCACGCGCCTCTGCAGCTGATCAAAAGTAGAGATGGGCAGAATATTCGTTTTATATTATGTATTCGGCATATTCGGCAGCTTTAAAGAATATTCGTATTCGGTCGAATATTCGGCTAAATTACCGAACGTTTGTTAAAGTGGCACTAAAAATGTCCACTATATTGAAATGTACAAATTGAGTAATGTAATAACTTTCATATTTTTACTGTCGAAAGTATATGTTAAAATATAAGCATGTGCCGGCAATTTGCTCAGTACAATAACTGTCAGGTGTGGCGGGGGAGCGATTAGCAGGGTCAGGCGCTAATGCCGCGCGCTTTACGGTAACAAGTTTCAACATAAATTGGTTAGGTATCAGGGTGATCCTGCCGAATAATGTTTGGCCGGATATTTGGTTCGGTAAAAGTTTTACCGAACTTTCGGCCGAATATTCGTATTCGGTGAAATCCATGTTCGGCCCATCTCTAATCAAAAGTTCACTACTGAACATAAGCCTCCCCCATAGATTGCCTCATAGTGGGGTTTGCTAGTTTGCTACGCTTACCAGGCGGGTTGACAACTGCAATTATTGTTTTAGTCGCTATTAAGAAGACGCTGCTTCGTTTCCCTCTGTCGCCTCTCACGACAGCCACAAGACGTAAAGGGGTAGTCGATATTCTTACAGCGCCACTGCACGGTTAATAAATTTATGTTTGTTATAAGTAAGGGTCATTACATCATTATCATTATCATTACAGCCCTGCACAAGTTCACTGCTGAACATAGGCCTCAAGGAATGCCACAAAGCACGGTCCTGAACAACCTACATCCATCGACTTCCTGCATGTCTTGTCAGGTCGTCACTTGAAGATGTGTCGTAATTTCCCGAACGCTGCTCAGCCGAGTTGTATTCCTGGCTACGGTGAGTCATTACAAACTTCTTCAAGTGCAAACCTTACTTGTATGCTGTCCCTGTTAACTAACGAACGCAGAACTGACCCTAACACATACGTGCCTAATGACTGGTATAATTCATTCCAAATTGCCGAACCCAAATCCCACTGGCCGCTAATGGACTCCCCACTTGTGTGACGGACTCCCAGCTTTAAGGGTGCATAATAGTGGTTTAATAGTTCCACAAATAAAAGTCACCGATATTTCTAACTGTTTACAAGGTGATTGTTTGCTATATAAAAGAATACAAAGGACAGTCTTAATGCCATAAGATTTTCTCTTTCGTCCAACCCATAACCTAATAATTAAAAATAGTTTGTATGAAACTACTAACGCATCTTGACATTTTTCTCAATTTCAAAATAATTAACGCACTTTGAGAAAGTAGTTTGTTCAGAATCGTTTACTGAATCGATTCCTATCATTTTTATTATAGGTATTTTTTTATTCCAAAAATAATTAAAACTACGTAAATTACAGTCACACTAAATCTGTACAGTCAAAACAAACTGAAATGGACCGTAACTTAAGGCAATAAGACTTTTAAGAGTGCAGTTTTATTTGTATTATTACAATTCTGACATTCAATAAAAATAAAGAAAAATGAACTTTATTTCAAGCACGTTAAAGTCTTTGCGTTCGTGGATTTGTACTGTGACCACAACATTCTTCCGAAATTAGTTATATTAATTTGATAAATAATCAGTGCGTAAAAATGTTTAACTAAAAATTCAGTGTATGTATTATGATTGTAACATAATATACTAATTGGGATGTCTGAGGATGTGCGTTAATTACGTTACATATTGTATAAAAATAAATCGCTATCCGTTAGGCTCCTAAAAACTCGAAAATGGCTCGACAGATTTTAATGATTTTTTAAATGTGTATTTGAGTGGATCACTTGATGGCTTAAAAACTCAATTGGACCAAAAAGGTGGCGCTGTTGTCGCGTGTAGAAATCACCCGTGTAAAGCTGGGGCGGATCGGTAGTTTGAAATAAATAGTGATATTTACCTGTTTAAATGATTATGTTGTTCATTGAAGGGTGAGGTATCGGCAAAAAACGGGTGTCGAAATCGTCGCGAAAACAAGTATCCAATAACGAAGCCGAGCATCAGTGTGACCAGACACGAGGCCACTACGGCAGTGAGCAGCGCCTGCGCGCTGTAGATGTTGCCGTCCGCCGCCTCCACTGTCAGTAAATCTGCGACAAACAAACAAACACAGTTGAAACTTTGAACTAACTTTAGACATTTTCCAACTTTAAACTATTTTGTAAGGTGGGAATGCCACGACCGCCTTAAATTATAATTTGGCATATAAGCACAGACTAAATAATAGTACTACGTAATATAATTTAAATAGATTAAAAATGTTTAGATCCATTGTAATAATTATAGGGTTTACACCGTAGGTTACCTCGCTTACCAGGCGAGTTGACAGCCGCAGTTTTTTTATTATTTTAAGTTGCTTTTTAAGATAATGCTAACCATCTTCTATTTCAATTTTCCTCTGCCGCTTCTTCAGTTATCCACGGGACGATATAGAGTAGTCAACGACTACACAGCCCGAATAGACGCCTATTGTATGTACTTCTGCATCCAAACCTGTCTGTCAAGTCTGAGGTAAGCGGTACGGGGGAGGCGGGTTGAAATGCACGCTAATTGGTTAAAATCAAGGTTGCGACACTTGCTAATAAGCAAATAGTGATGGGAACTTTAACTTGGTTAATGCATTTGGTACCAAGTCTACTTAATCAGTATCAGAATTATATTCTACTATAAACTAGTACAAAATAAAAATAAAACAAAAGAAGTTTAATTTAAGTAGATATCGTATTTAGTAAAATACCTATAATTTTTTGTTTTAAAGAATATTTTTTATTAAAACAAGCTTTCTTTACAATATTGAAATAATAAGAATACTATTAAAAATAAAATAGCAACAGTTATTTAAACTGTCAAGTTCACTTCCGTTTCCTACTTGTCTTGACATGGCGTCTTAGCAGTAAAGAGAGCGGAGTGCCGTCTATTAAAAATTATATCAATTTTGTTATGAATTTTTTAAGAAATTTAGAATAATTTGATTTAATTATTAAATCAATTCATTCAAATATGGATTAACGCACATTCACTAAAAAAATTCAGCTTACACCTATGGCGCTTATAGTATAAATCTGTAAAACATTCACGATAACATGCATAATTTTTACTTGTACCAATATTATGGTTTAACTGGTACAGAACTAGTTACACGTGCCGGTAATTAAAGAAAAGTATAGCAACAATAAATTGCATTGAAAAGAAAGGGATGCATAGTCCGAAAATATCCGAAGATGTCCGAATAAATCAACGCGAGTTGCTTGTGACAAATATAGGTTGAGCTCTGATTTAATTTTAATTAATGAATTTGGAAATTAAAATTCACTTATCTATGAAAAGTGATGCCATTTTTTTTAAAATTACACATTTGGCTACTATTTCCGCACTATTTTATTGTACAGAGAACCGCGTCTGTTGTATTTTATTTTGTCGAAATTTCACGAGTCACAAGCAATATGTTCACGGGTCAGGGAAGTTCGGTGATCGGACGAGAACCGGTGTATTCAACGTGGCATGGACGTTGGCGACTGAACCTCTTCACTGTGGAGAGGTATTCTGCTAATCGCCTTAGGTTATCAATCTTAGGCGATTGGTCGCTACTAAAGTAGATCGTGCGATTTGTTTTCTTAAGTCAGACGTATTTGTCTAACGTGTTGACAGAAAGTGTTTGCTTTGCATGAGGCGTTTCCCTTGGTGTTTTTTTTATATCCAAAAGATTTATGCAAGGAAAGATGGAAATTTGCCAATATTTGCAGTGCTCTTACAGATTTCTTACTTGGAACTATTTTTATAATTAAGACCATATGTATACAACAAGAGTAGCAAATAAATTGAATTGAATTGAAATTATCATTGACATAATATTAAATGATACTGATTTTATAAATTTTATCACGATTAATTTTAATGTAGGTTTTTAATTCCTGACTTTTACATGATGACACGGGAGCGGCAACACACTCAAAATGTGGGATATTAAAAAACGTTATAAATAAATAATAAAATTTGCCGTATCAGTCTGCCGAATGCTGAACAGGAGCTTTTACCTATTCTCGAGAGGGTTTTATGAAAATTAAGAGCCCGCCATCATGCTCTTGTGTTGGACTGCAGATTTAATAAGTAACCAATTTTTTTGAGACATTCATTTATTCACGATGTTTTCCTTTAACACCGAGCACGTGTTTAAAATTAACTAATTTAGATGTGCCGGCAGTATCAAACTCGTTTTTTTAAAAATATGTATCGGTGACAAACGAGCACACAGTTCACCTGATGGTAAGTGAATACTGAATAAGACATTTACATCTATCCTCGATTAAGAAACAAAATGCAGATGCGTTGTCACTCCAGAATACAGACATGGAATGATTCATTGCCTCGATACCAATGAAAAGAAGTCTCCGGTTCTCTACACTCGCCTTACTAAGACAAGATACTCATTGCTTATTTAATTTGTTTGTTTTGAAGTAGAGTTTATAAGTTTTTTTGTGCAATATTAGTTTTAAGTAATATAATGACATGAATAGACATATACATGTTATTAAAAATCATGATTGGTAAGTTTTTAATATGAATATTTTTTTATAATTGCTTTTTTGCAGCACCCATATCTTACGCTGGTATTTCATTCATACTTCTGCTGTCGTACAGTTACAGCGTGGTTTTGCCATATATAAACGATTGTATCTCGAAATGCTTCCGTACTATGAAATTAGAAGTCAAGCGCTTATTTCGTGTGTTACTAAGCTCGCTTCTAAGACGGGCGGGTGCAGTATTTAGCAAATTTTTTTCTAGGTCGGGTGGGGTCAGGTTATGGGCATTTAGGCGATTGCTTTTCCGCTTAGGTGTCACCACCACAGTTGGTACCACCATCTGGTTTATTCGTGCCGCCAATATCAGTGCTCGTACTGGAGTGTTCTGCTCTGAACGGTATAGAGAGCTCTGTGAAGTATTTTATCTTAGTCTGCAGAGGTGACAACGCATCTTATTTTTACGTGGTAGAGCTACGCTGCAGCTATTATGGTTGTAGCAGTGTGCAGTAGTATGTTGTAGTATAGTTGTAGCACGAAAGGGTCGGCTCGACTGGGTAAGGATTACGCTCTCACAAGAATAACACCGTAAAATAGCAGCTTAATGCTGCTGTGTTTCGTACGGTGAGTTTAGAGAACCGGAGACCCATTTTACTGGAATCGAGGCATTCCATGTTAGTCCTCAAGGGTGACAACGCATCGGCATTTTGATTCTTAATCGAGGTTAAATGTAGATGTCTATAGGACACAGCATCCACTTACTATCAGGTGGACTGTGTGCTCGTTTGTCACCCTTATCCTATAAAAAAATCTGTAACCTTCATTTGATGCTGGCTGCACGCGATTGTACGCTCATTTCTAACTTCAGTTTTAACTATACCTGTTTCGTGCTTGTGATTACTGGGTGTTTTGTCTTCGGACAAAACGTTGGTCTCAACAACTTCGATCAGGATCTCGTTCTGTATGTCATCCGGTGGCTGCCGTTGGTTCGTCTCTGTCTGCGCCGGTTTCTTCGTGGCCTGGTTCCTGCTGCCGTGCCTGTCGCTCGGCAGCAGCGCAGGAAGCTTGTTGCATATCTCGCTCTTTCCGTATTCCACGTTCTGTAGAAACCTTTCTGGGTTGGGGAATTGTCTGTTTCCGACCCATGAGCATTGCTGCTGCTTCGAATCCCACGCGCAGTGCGGGTCTTGTAGCGCGACGCATTCTCTGTAAAAAAAATTGAGTAAGATTCAATAACTTAGTTATTTTTGGGATTTGTAGAAGGAGTTCTTATAGTAGGATTATTGTAGTACACATGTTACCTATCAACCAGCGCATATCCTATATTTCGGAAAGATATTATCTTGATTGTAAAAATTATTAATGGATTTCTCCATTCTTTTGTTCAAAATATGTTTTAGTGCTACGTGGCATAAATTACAATTATAATACTTTTGATAACAGTTGTATTTGCTCGTAATCTATAAATATAGGTAGGTCGAAATGAGTAACACAAAATGTATACGTTATCTAATAAGACTATCTTGTGATAAGACACTCCTTTGTGTCGCTTTTAAGAGCATCACAGAAACAATTACAAAAAAATGTGCGGTTAATTGTGTACACATGTAAAAACTGAAACTTCTTTACGACATATACTTCTTATTTTATTTTATATTTGACATAAGCCCAACAGGCAGTGCGCGGTGGAACGTTACAAGAAAAAGTGACGTTTTTGTTTTTTAATACTGTACTAAAAGAAGTTTCACTTGAATAATGTTTAAAATAACATTATGTGCATATTGTAATACATATTAGTTTATTTTCGAATAAATATAATCACAAAAAATAAGACATTAGTTTATGCCTATATAATAATAATAATATAAATTATTTAGTTCCATACACACAAATTAACAAAACGTAATAATTTAATGGAATATAACTAAAAAGGCGTCTAATCATCAGAAATGTTATAGAAACCACATAGTGGTAACTACAACTACTGACTTTCAGTAAAAGCCAGAAACATAGGTGTTATCAACATAACGTTAACAGAGCAATGTTAACGGATAATTAAATATTTAAGTAGCTTATTTAAAACAATACTAGAAATACTTTAGGTATACATTATATTCCCGTTCATCACCCCAATTAAGCCTCAAATGTCTTTTTAGGAGCGAAAAAGTCCAAGTGAGTCGGGACATCTGTACCATTATTAAGGGTAGAAACTCGGTAACGACTACGAAGAATGATGGTGATAAGGAGTTAGGCTTGCCTGTCACACACACGCATACGTTCCAGTACAATGTTGCCAAGTTAGCCGATTTTTCGCCATTTTGAGCAATTCGAAGGTAGTCAGGGAGATCAAAAATTACTATTGGCGTGGTTCGCCAATTAAACTATCAGCAAAAAACGCGATTAAAAGAAGCGAGTTATATAAAGTAAAAAACACGTATAAGTAAGTTTCTCTATCAAGTAAGTTCTATCTTAAGTAGATTGTATGTTTTCTCCTACACAAACAACCTTAAAGGCTATTTGACTTTAAATTAAAGTGTTTTTAAAAAGATAAAACACTGCCGACGACTGGTTCTTAGGCAACACTTACACTTAGTCTAGTATTAGTGAAGTGTCATGAAAAGTGCTAGCTGAAAATGTATGTTGAACACGCAAATATGATAAAAGTATGACTTATTAAATGCATATTTACCTGCACGATAGAACGTTGGTACAATGCGACAGCGATATAGCTTTAATAATATCTCCTGACGCGACGATCAGTTTTTCTGTAGTGAGAGCGACGTGCATTTGTTTTATCGGTACTCCCGACGGCAGTACTTGGACCTCCGAAATGACCGCCGTTCTAACCGGATTCCTGCTGTACTCGTCTGTACTTGCGTCAAAAGATCCATCATTGGCCGCCACGTTAACCGCCTTGATCACTCTCCCATCGTCAGTACCGACGTACATGACATCGTATTTATTGCCATTCATTGCTTGCACTTGAGGGTGGATGGCGATAGCTGAAAATCGATACTGCAAACTGACTCTTATAAGGATCGGTCGCGCTAAAAACGAAGAAACTGCTTTGTCCATTAATGGATGCGTCTTTATAAAGTTAACTCCGGAATCGGATAGAGTTCGGCTGTCTTCTACGCAGGAACCGGGCCTAGGTTGCGGCACTTTCTCTTTTTCTATCGGCAACCAGTTGGAGTTCATGCTCTCTTGACTTTTAAACGTCCCGTCAAATGCGTCCAAGATGTCCCTCATAGCGAACGCGCAAACTGCTGAACCACCTATCGCGTTTTGGGGAGTCGTGAAGACTGCGTATATTATGTCGTTCCTACTGCTGTCGCTACCGTAAATCCCACTGATCAGTTCAGTTGTTGCCTCTAAAATAGTTAATCAGATTAATGTTTAATCTTTAACGTTTTACAAAAAAAAACTCTTTAATAATTACGAGGCGTATAAAACTTACGTATTTCATCGAAATAGAAAGGGTATTCCCCGGGTACTGAGCAGTTTAATCGTGTTTTTAAGAAGGAAGTCCATCGATCGCTAAATGTATGTGGGCCACCTTTGTCATTTAAACAAACTCTAGCTACTCTCGAATACACCGCCTGTGAAAATTAATTATACCAATATGAATATATTACACTGAAAACTAGTTTATGTTTATCACACAGCTGTGTAGTATAATGCTATCGTATCGTGTTTTTGGAATAGTAGGCGGGAAAGATATAAGTGCACTGACCTTTCCGCAGTTCATGTATTCAACTGCGGTTTCGCGGTAGAAGAAATAGACGTGGCTTGTTGAGGCTACCGCACCGACGAAGGAAGGGTCGTTGAGTAATCGGAGATCAGAGCGTTCGGTTCTCACCGGTTCTCGGTAGATAAGAGGGTCCGTACCAGAGAAGTCGGCTGCAGTTGCAGTGTATAAATGTCCATCTGGAAAATGTTGAGACTTTTGAAGTCGTAATAATGTACAATGTCAGTTTTTTATGACCCTACTTAAACACATACTAATTAACATATTTAATGTAAAATTATTGTGATTTAATTTGACTATCAGACATTATCATTTATAAAGTGATGTGGTTTTTAAGGTAAATGAAAATTAAGGAAGAAAATTAATTAAAAAGTTTAATTGCAACTTTTTACAAACCACGTATAGTTAATTTTCTATATCTATTTTTTAAGTTTTAAGTTATTTGATTCAATTCAATCAGTACTTAGAAAGAATGAAAAAGTATTGGAGTAGGACCTCCAGTGTTGGCTTGATTTCATAATACTTAAGTTCCGAGTAATGACGAGGGGCATTAACAATAACGGTATAGTCAATTTGATGAATAGAGAGCGCTCTGCTCTTGGTTTTGTGGTTTTCTAATCATCCTCGTGGTTAAACTTTAATACACTTTTACATTTTGTGCTACATGATGAGGAATATAAACGTTATAGAAATTATGAAGATCTGTAACGGGAACAAATCGTAATAAATTGAACATGACCTAAATATTTAGTATTACGCCAATATTAAAAACAATCTACATAACTTAAATTAAAATAATAACATTGAAAGTAATTTTAGTGTCATTTTTCTTACATGGACTAAATTCGACCTATTTCCCCTATCCAGGTTGGCGTAATTATGAGAAAGGTAAGCATCACACTTTTATATATCACGGCAGTTTACATTTCCTACGTGCCAGAACATTTGTCCGATTTTATGAAGCAGTGAATTTTTGGGGATTTTTTTTTTGTAAAATAATACGGTGGGGATGCCAAGTTTATTTTTGTTAAATACTAAGTACATATCAAAAATAAAAGAAAAAACAAAGAACGATACTCGTAATAAATTTAGTTGGTATAACTTGTTTTTTTTTATAGTATAAGGGCGACAAACGAGCACACAGTCCACCTGATGTTAAGTGGATGCTGTGGCCTCTCTTCACAATGTGTGCGTTGCTAGCCCTGGGGACTGAGGTGGAATGCCCCGTTTCCAGTAAAGGGTTCTCTACACTCACTATACGAAACACAGTACCATTAAGCTGCTTTTTTACGCTGGTATTCTGTGAGAGCGTGGTCCTACCCCGGTCGAGCCGACCCATTCGTGCTGCAACCACAATATAGCTGTAGCATGGATCTACCACGTAAGAAATCTAAAACACGTAAAATAATAGATTTTTGTCAGAAATATTAAGACTTTGTACTGTACAACCTATTAAAGTCCACGACTATACATAGGTTACCTCATAGGTGTGATATTTGCCATAGTTTTGTTTGCTAGGCGAATTGGTAACCGCATTTTGAAGTGAAAACTTCTTTAGCATCGTTGTGATTTGAAGGTCTATGAAACGAAAAAGCTACAGTAAAGAGACAGACACATAAATTCACAGTGTTTCTTATGTTCGTGGTTCTCTTTGTGCCCTGCTTCGTACGTAGTCAATACGTAGACTATTATTTATTCTGTGACCAAGGCATAGTGAGAGTATCTATGCTTGGGCCTCAGCATTGTACACGTGTATGTGTTAGTTTTGGTCGAAAGAAAATATAATATCTATATATCTAATATATAGCAGAATTGTGGGTCACTCATGGGCAAAAAAACTATATTATCTCTCAAGTTGGACCAAACTGCCCACGGTGTGCAAATTTGATCAAAATCGGTTAAGTAGTTTAGGAGTCCATCGCGGACAAACAACGTGACACCTATTTTATATATATATATATATATATATATATATATATATATATATATATATGTATATATGTATATTAAGATATAAAGAATAAGAAAAAGGATTGTTACATTTATTTACTATTAAATAAAGTTTTATTATATTTATGCGGAACTTGTAGTTTGAATTATAATATTAAATAAATAATTTGCCGTAAAGTATTTGTATTTTATATTTCATTTCATTTGAAGATTTCACTTCTGTCGCGTGTGAGCTGCACGCATGTTTTTTTTGAAGTTCTTTTTAGTGGAACGCTGCTGGCTTGATTCCTCTGTCCCTTCTTACGACGGCAGGGGACAATATGGGTTAGTGGATATGCTTTTCCCCCACTACACCGTGCGCAAAAACTTATCATTCGTTGTAAGCGAGGAAAAATTTAAATTTATTATCGTTGAACGAGATGCAAGCAGTTAAATGTATAAGACTATTACACAAGACTTAAACGATACTATAAAGTTAGTGTTTCACAGGAACAGCTAACTGTAGAGCAGATTAGCATCGCGGTGGTCTCGCTTCGTGTTCAACTAGGCCCCTCAAGTTGCGATAGGAGAGTAAGTCCGTGTCTTCTATGTTAATCAGTAAAACATGTTATTTCTGTATCCGAATTAGCAAGGCTTTAAATTAATATACCTATGTATATATGGTATTGTTTTTTAAAGATATAAGGTACGCACATGAGTACACATTCAATTTAATAGTAAGTGGAATAATCCGCGAATACATTCCCGTATTATTTAAATTCGTTAGTACTTTTCAATGTTTGATTTGAAAGTTTCAAAGAGAGTTATTAAAAAATATTTCACGCTTATTGAAAAAATAAAGTGGATATTTATTCAACGTGAATAGAACGGTGAAATTTTGGGTTTATATTAATCATCGAAATTCGGAAATTCTTGTATTCATATACGCAGGGTTCTAAATTAGTCGGCAAAACAATATTATGGAATCATATAAATATTATCTATTGTTGTTATTTTTAATAATTATTTGAAAACACGACTGAAATAATGGGAATCATACGAGTATATTAATTTATAGCAAGCTGTGGCAAGGCAAGTGATTTCTGATCTAACAAAATTAATATTTAATAACCTTATTTACATTTAATTAAATTTATATTTCATTCAGTTATAGTCAAAATGCATATTATGCTTTATCACTCGAGAGGACTAAGATAGTACGTGTATGCCTTATATTATATTAAACATGATTTGCATTGTTTTTGTTTTAGATCACTAAGGCATATTAAATGTTTTATTTTAGTTTCACGGGTCTCGTGTCCTTTCTGTGTCAAGTATTATTTTTATGTATGTAATATGTTCGTTTTGTGCAACTTTTTGAAGTGAATGGTATATATTCGAGAGTTAGGTGTCCAATATCCATGTATTATGTCTGATGTCATAAAACGCTAATGTAATTGTTGTACTATTTTGATGAGAAATACTTAATATGATGTTTTTGCTTATAAACAACAATATTATTTCATTACATTGCTTTGCCACTTGTATCAAGACGTTGAACGAACAGACACAAAATCGTTGTTTTCATGATTAAAGGTTAAAGTCAAAAAGAATATAGGTTTAAGTCTTAGTAAAAGCGTGTGGAGGAATGCGTGGCGTGTTCACGTGTCTCCTATATAACTTGAGCGGGCTCCACTCAAGACAGTTTAATACTAGTTTTTGCACCAACCCTTAAAGCTATAATGTTGATTAATTTATTCTCTTTATTTCTTTAAAGTTAGCTTTAACTTTTCATCAACATAAAAACATAAAGAGTTTTAAACTTACCCGCAAAAATAGCGGAGGAGTTGTGCTGAGGATCGTACGGACAACGACCGGAGCCGTCGAATTCCTCAATGCGGTGGTTTGGTGGGTGTCGAGTGGTGTCATATCGACGACACAGCGGTTTAAATGCGTTCGTGCCGCACACGAGCAGCCGGCCGTGTGATCGCGCCGCCACACGAGGGTAGTTCTGACACTCGTCTGCCGACTTGCCCTTCAGCTGGCACAGCTCTCTGTGTGCGTCAGTGGACTGCCATTCTAGACGCTACAAAACAATTAATGAAAACTTTATTAATTATTTGTAAAGATATTCATAAGAAATACGAATACTATTTTTTTGTATTAATTAATTTTTTTTAAGTACGTATTGTATATTTTTGGCTATTATGTAAAGGCTTGTAGGAAGTACTGTGAGCACTAAGCAAGCGGTGTTTACCTATTATTGAATGTGCACTTAGTTTATATCACTGTCTTAGAAGTAAGCATATGTACTAGTGTAACATATGTTTGGAAACCAAATAAATAAATAAATACATTTTTTCAAAATGTTTGCAGGGTTTTGCATCACCCTAAGGTAGACTAACAGATAATGCCACAGGTAATAACAGAAACCATGTCTGTACATGAAGTACAATATATAAATAAATAAAGTTTCTTTCGTAATTGTTTACATGGAATGAGTGACTTCATATATTTTTATAAATATATAATTGTAAAATTTTACTAAGAAAATCATTAACACGCTTGTTTATTATTTTTTAGTAAGTTGTTTTTGCCTTTTTCGTTGAATTCTTTCAGACAGAGGCAAAAACAAATGAAAGGCAATAATGTAAAGAAATCAGTTAAATGGCAGTCGCATTATGTAGGGTAATGGTGGTAAGTAAATGCCATTTTTATCCGACACGACATTGAAAATACTGGTTTTATTTATCGAAAATCGCAGTATACTATATTGACTTGCTTTTATAGTTCAATTGAAATCGGCAACAGGATGTCGGCGATGTTATGAGAGTAATTTTACTGAGAATTGCAACGAACTTTGTAAAAAATTATATAATTTTATTGAGCATTTGTGATATTTCGTACGAAACGATGTTTCAATTATTGGTTTATATATGCATATATAACAACATTGTCTTTGAAGAACGTTTCGCACAAGTATATACGGTGGTGCGGTGTATTTATAATGTAGCCAAGCCTTTACAAAAACATCACACTAATTACTTGAAACACGTTTTTCACAAATTAAGTCATTATCTTGTTTGAAAATGGGTTTAAAATATGAAAAAGGCACGTGAGGGTAATATAGTCACCTTAAGCTTTGTCGCCCTATAAAACCAAAAGTAGGAGTAGGACAGAGACGAAAATTCCGATACTATTACTAATATATTAAGAAAAAAAAAACAGCAAACAAGCCTTAGCAATAATTAGGAACACTTCGAAAAATCTACTTAAAAAAATTTAACTACACTACACAATACATAAAAAAAATCGATTAAAATATTTACAACATGTACTGTCAACTGTCAAAATGGCTCTGATAAAGCAGAGCATTTTTGACTTGATTTACTGATGATGAGCTATCTTGTCACAGAGGCATCTATGTAAACAAGGCTGTAGTTTTTCAGTTATTATAAAGTGACCATATTAACCGCAGCAAATAATTATGGCTTAATAGTTCTACCGGTAGGATAGATAGATAGAAGATAGGTAGCGATAGGGCAAAACGTTCAGGTATATTATAAAAAATAAATCTTTTATATATATTTACGAGCAACTATGACAATATCTTTCCTGTGGGGTAATCTATAGGGGAGGCCAATGTTCAGCAGTAGATTTAATAGGCTATAATGGTCATCCATTACAGCCTATTAAATCTACTGCCGATGCTGACACTGCAGATACTGCTGATTATAAAAATGAATAGATCTGGATGTCTTTTTAATTATTTAATCAATTTTAACAAAGCAGACTTCGTCACTTATTCAGTCTAATCCCGCCATATTGGCTCGCTAGTTCCCTGGTACAATAACATTTAAAATATAAATACTTTTTTTATTTGAGTGACTAATTATGTGAATATAATTACTTGTAAAATATTTATTATTAGTAAAGAAGTTATTTTTATAATTCTTAAATGTTAGGAATTAAAATTGAGTCTCAACTATTTTTATACAGGAAATAGCATAATGTATATGATAAAAGAATATCCCAAAAATGAGCATTAATCGTTTAGAAACTTGTCATACAAAGAAATATTTATACTTAGTAATCCTAACAATACTTAATAATCTAACATGATGGTACAATTATATTCCCTCTTGAACGGAAAAAAATGTATATGTAAAAAAGTTCCATTCAATCTACAATGAAATTACAATTCAGATCCTAACAATTATGAGAAATTGAATAACAAACTAAGTTATTCGAATTTTAAACAGTACGACAACGGATCAAGTATCCTGGACACGAAAAACGATTTTGTTACTTTAGATCCATTATTTCTTGTATGGTTTTGTGACAAGTGAAACTTTACCAATATCTGGCAAAATCTGGTATCGTACATGGCCTCGTGCCAAGCGAATCGTTCCCGGCATAGCGACACGTATTTGGTATTTTGATTCGTATATTGTAATGCCATTTATTTTGTTCGACATTGCAACACTGTACACAGTTATTGTAATGTTTGTAATCAATACTATATTTGTGTACCTCGGTAGGATCTATGGAGGCGTGTTAATTTAGACATAAGATAATCGAACACCATTTTTTTTTTGGTTTTTATTTTTTGAAAAAATAATTCAAGTTTTTGGACACAGCCATCCCTCCATCCATCCCTCCTGACGTTGTACTCTGTTTGATCGTAAATTTCGTCATAATCAGTACAGCCGTTCCAATAAATTAGCCCGGAGAGACAGAAAGAGCCAAACATTTAAAATTGATTATTTACCTACCCTTAAAGCTAGCCCTACGCTTAAAGTTAAAAGTTATTACAGTCTATATACGTCCCACAGGCTGGCTGGGCACAAGCCTCTGCTCATTTCCGAGATTTTAGGACAAGAAATTGTCCGTCACGCTGCCCCAATGCGTATTGGCCAACTTTACTTCAAAATATTTTTTTTTATTTCTCAGACATGCAGGCTTCCTTATGACGTGCCGGCAAGGATCGAACCCGATTACACGCGTACTGTGATGTGAACAGCGAGCGCTAACCATCTGAGCGGCTCTACCCTTAGTTACAATATAACAGATAAACACAGTTATATTTATATGTATGTATAGATAAAAAATCTCTTACTGTGTTTATTTACTTTTAAGAGTCTCTAGTTTCAGCTCCATTTTAATTCGTATTTTGAGATCTATGTGAATCTAATCTACAAGAGTAATCTAAACATTGCGGCGACTTTGCGGCGGCTGAAGGGGAAACTACTTCGAGCCCTATACTTACAGTTACCCCGCGTATTTTTCTCATTTTGTGAAAGGTTAAAATGCTGCTTTCACTGTATGGTAAAGTGACTCGCGAAACCCTTCAGTTTATTACTTTGAAATGTCTATGTCCACTCGTATAACAACATGTTACCCGAGCTTTATAAAATATACAACTGTGATGATAAAAAAAACGTTGTCAAACAACAAATAACATAATTTTCGAAACAAAAACGTAGAAATTTCCAATACAATTTAATTTAGACTAACTTATATTGTGTCGCAAATAAAAAGTGGATGAGCTACATCGCGTGCGTGTTCGTCAAAAGCGCGTAATGCAACTTCAGCAAATTCTATCAAACTGAGGCGCTGACTGGCATGACAGAGATGTCGCAATATATGATATTAATATACATTGTTGTATAACGCGGAAGGCAATTTAAAATAATTCGCCAAAATAAGAATGAAAACAACTTAGGGAGGTTCTCAATTCATCTGTATATATATTTTATGTATGTTATATAGGATTTTCCTCTTATTTGTTTATAACTCAAGGATTTTCGTTTCTTAAGAAAAAATATCATCCCTTATGGTGAAAATTTCTTATCCCCTTATGGTGGATAATGTAATTAGACTCTTTATACGATATTATAGTTGTTACCTTGAACTTGTGATATTACTTTTCATTGTGATATTGTGATGTTACGTCAAAGTCAAACGGGCAAAAAATATATAAAAAATGTAACAATCTTTTTTATTAAAAAGTATAAAATAATTTCTAATAGCTCCCGAAATCTAGACTTATTCTTCGATAGACTATGTCTTAGCACCGTTATCTATGTGGAAATTAGTTTTTTAGTTCTTGAAGTCCGTTTTTCATTTTTTTAATGTTTATTTTTGACTATACACTGCATACAATCGCTATGTATTAAAGATTACTTTTATGCTAAATTTTATATTTTCATTAATTATTTAGCCTAAGGGAAAAGCGGAGCAGGGCGTTCGGCGGGCATGATAAACACGAGCTGATGTATTACAGTCTTGAATGTAAGCCGCTCGCTATGGGTACGAGTATGGGATATGCCCTGCCACGGATTATTTTCTGCCGAATGTTGATCTCTTAAACCTTACTAATTTATATTTGACGTTTTGTGCGCATAATTGTCTACATAGTTATTAACTTGTAGTAGTCAATTAATTATTATTTTGTTCTCTGGTCTCGTAGAAGCTTACTCCGCGTGCTCGGTATAGATATTTTAAGCAAGGCAATTTTGTAGAGTTACTCTAGTCGAGTTTTACGATGTCCGTAGAATAGAATAAGGTTATGGATTCTGTAGACGTTCCTCATGACAAAATGTTATTTTTACTTAAGTTAATGAAATTTTAAGATTCAAAGTATACACATGTATAATAATTTCACTTGTACCTATACTTAAAAATACGTTTTGTATTATTATATGCAAAGCACTTCTACTATTGTTTAAGATAGGAAATATGTACCTATATTAATATTGGAAATTGTCATTGGATTTCTGAATGTAATTGATTAATGAGATTATTAATACTCTTATTTATGATAAGCCTTGCGACAATCCAATATAAATTAAAGACGTAAAAAGAAAGGAAGAAAGAAAGAGAGAGTCATACTTTAAGTATTAATATAATAAATATGACACAACACCGTCGATAATTTTTCTCCTGATGATGCCTCGATCAGGCGCGAAACACGTGCCGTATTAATTAAAAATGGACGGGGTGGGGGTAATGGAGGAACAGTGGGGGGCGGTGATTATTTCTAATTAATCTTAATATATTTACCTCGTATTTATGTTAATACTGTACTGTGTTACTCTGATTCAAATGCTCATACTTCGAGTATGTGTTTTTATTCATATTCACATGCAAATGTGTACATACAATCACAATCGCTGTGAATTCCACGTATACGAGTATATTATACACGCATCATGCTGACAGTCACGCATGTAGGTAGTTGCTCCGATGAATCACATTCCTATGTCCATTCATTTTTCAACCATGTTTGAAATCTCTTTCTTAATAAAAATGCTATTACAATTAATTGGAACAAGTTAACTTTGTTAATTAGGAAAAGGTAACTAAGTGTCGATTTCTGCAAGTGAGTGAAAACTAGTTTCACTATTAAATTTATAAGGATTCTTTGTTAGCATTGCCATAATCTTTACGATTGGTATTGAGTTTTTTAACTTAGCTACCGTTTGGTTGACGCAGTTTTATCATTTTGTTCCAAATTATAAGTAAATATATGATAAGGCTACTTGTCGTTATTGGATAAAGAAACTGTTTCGGTGCGAAGAAGATAGCGACCGGGTAGGTCTGTGTACACAACCGATATCCAGTTACTTTTATTGTACGAAAAGTCAGGAAGTTCGCGAGCTTGGGAAGAGTTAAATCAAATTAAACGGGTTCTTATTTAAACTGAATTAAGTACTAAAATAAACACCAAAGAAGGCATTTCGATGTAATTAAATGATGATACTTGTAATTCTTACCTGATCTACATTTTCAGACAAGTCATAGAGGCTTAAGTTGTATACTGCATTTCTGTAACAAATATTTACGGAGTTAAACATGGAGAGCTAAAGTTCTTTATGATAAATACGATATTAATTAAATAGTTAGTTAAAAACTAGTATGCTATAAATACTATTAAGGAACTCATTACGTTTATTATTGATGCAGATGATTAAATACATATACGTGGTAGAGCCACACTGCAGCTATTATGTTTGTAGCACGTATGGGTCGGCTGGACCAGCGAAAGATCACGCTCTCACAGAATACCCACGTAAAATAGCAGCTTAATACTGCTGTGTTTCGTATGGTGAATGTAGAGATCCGGAGACCCCTTTTTTACTGGAAACGAGGCATTCCATCTTAGTCCTCAGGAGAGACAACGCATCTGCGTTTGGATTCTTATGACTGATGATGTCTATGGACTCCACTTACCATCAGGTGGACTGTGTGCTCGTTTGTCACCCTTATTCTACAAAAAAAATACTTGAAAAAAATAACAATTAACGATATAAATTAACGATATTTTTATTCATATGACTATGGGAAAAGTTAAAAATAACTTTCGGCCTTCGATAGATAGCGCTATAACTATCCCGGACTGGTGACGGGGAGAGCTCTCAAAGGTGTGAAAATTTAGTAGGTATTGCGATTCGCCTATCAGCATGCGTGGGGGCTGATTACGACAATTGTTTCTATAATCCCATCTGATAGTAAGTGGTTATGCAACTGAAGACTCGCTATACAGTGAGAGAGGACCCAAGTAGTAGACTGTTATCGGTCATGAAGAAGAAGTCGAAGTAATAGTTACACTTACGTTAGAAATAACACCCGTGGTTCAGCAAGTGGGTAATGTGATCTTTAACCTTGTTATCCATTAAGAAAGCAAAACAATTATCGTATTAACTAAATCGGGCAACCAGACGTTCGGCGGGTCCCCACCGTCATAAACGGTTTGTTTTTTTCCTTTCATAAATGCGTACACCAAAGGAATGCAGTAATTTTCTAGCGTCTTTTCCTTTAGATTACAATCTGGGTATCCTCAAGGCAAAGTGAATTGGCTTTTGTTATTTAAGACAGTGTTATTAATCTAGGGCTTCATCACAACTTACCAGCAGGTGCGATTGCAGCCAAGCATTGGCTAAAATAAGTAAAATACTATAGGTATAGGTAATGCGACGACTCACCTGCCACCAACGATAATTGAGAAGTCGTCTTTATCTAAAATACGAAAGTGGTCTGGCGCAGTCGAATTACCCACGAACTGTTCGGATGTTTCATCGCCTGGAACAAAATATAAAGTATTTTTTATGGTCGCCACCCACGGTCAGTTCAGCTGATCATTCCAACTGATCAGTTCAAACTATGAATGTTGATATTTTTAAAAGTATTGGATTTTCGATATATCTATAATTATAAATATATCATTATCGGAGTTTTATATATAAGTTCATTTATGGATATATCGAAAATCAGATATTTTAAAATATATCAACATTTCCTAGTTTGAATCGATCAGTTGGAATGATCAGCTGAACTGACCGTGTGTATCGTCCATTAATATATTACAACAAAAGAACAGTAAACTCAGCATTTTGAATATATATTATTACAATATGATTTCCAACTACGATTCCATAAGATCAGAGTCGAGTTTTGATAGAATATTTTTAGCCGTCGCGTTGTGGCGGCGAAAAAGAATCATTTTATTTCATGGGTGTCGAACATCACGAGTGACTATGGTAAATATCGGATAGCTGACGATTTAACTGCCCTATTCACGGCAGATGTAAAGTAGCAAGACCGCCGACCGGGAGCATCACCGAAAGATGCTAAGATGTTTATGCGTGCCGATGGGTCGTAATTTTGCCATCTGTTAGAATATTAGATTTAGGTCACTATATACCAAGATAATTTTGCACTTTGGCAACTGGATCAGAATTTTGACTTATCTAAAGTCGAAGGAAATTAAAATGTAAGTTAAGCTGGCAGAGTTGCGCCTATGTAAACGGAACTTATTAAATTATTTTATTTTATACTTTTGTCATTTGATTAAATTGATTATTAAAATGTACGAAAGAGAAAATACGGTTGCTATGCGACAAGGTTCTTTCTAAAATAATTTAAAAAATAACATAGTCCATCTTTCTTTTCATTCATCACAATGAAAAGTCAATGAAAGAAATTATCAGACAGATTTTATAGTTTTTTTTTATAAATAATGGTGTAATCAATTCTTTCATATGTATCAAATCCAAAACACTAGTGTCAATGTTGATAATTATCATGTACATATGTGGTAGAGCTACGATGCAGCAAATTATAGCTGCAACGTGAACAGATCGGCTTGACCGGGGAACACCAATGTGAAATAACACAAGCGTTTCAAGCTTACCAGGAGTGGTTAAAAGGAGTATTAGTAATGTTAATTAATAAGATTACTAATATTTAAAAAAAAAGCATAATTAATATTGCTGTGCTTCGTGAGTGACGTTAACCGCAGATCCCTTTTATAACGATCTTGAAGTAACGAGCAATTTATAATTTTTCAGAGGTCACGATGCGTGCGCATTATGATTTCATAATAATCGGAGATTATTCTATGTTAAATCATAATGCATCAAAATGCATAAAACAAAAATATAGTTGTATGTGTCTATAGGGTATGGGCCACACTTTCCATGGGGTAAACTATGTGCTTGTTTATTACCTTTACTTCTGTATACATATAAAAAGAAACATTTTCTACATGACATTATTCTTGCAAACTACGTGCTATTTATAAATATGAGTATGATCGACGTGACTTCTAAAGTAAGATAAAAAAAATCACATCGATTATTATACACAATAATAATCAGAAGAAGCCAAAGTCCTGCCATTATGAATTTACTGGATAAGCAAACATTAATTTCATTATTTATTGTGATTAATGATATTATGTAGAAGCGGTGTATTGTATCGACAGAAATTCCATTTGTCATTTAGTCTGCTATTTTCAGTGAAATAGTTTGAGGTGTTTGGGTTTTAGATTGAGTAAATAATACTTTAATTATATAGGCATACATCACACATACATAAAAATATTTTATGAATCAGAAATACATTACTGTAGTATTTAAATTTAGGTAATTAAGTTATGCAATAGATAATTGTACGATACGCGTGACATTACTCGTTCGTCAAAGGTTGTAATTTAAGGGCGTTACAAAGTGTTATTGCAGGTACTTCCAAAACAGTACCTACATATGAGTAATTAATAATTTCCTTGGCGAGATAGGCGAGGTGGCGGCGTAACAGAATCCGTCACCAAATTTCATCCTGTGGGTGTCGTAAGAGGCGATGATGAGGATACAGAGGAGATGAGCAGCAGCATCTTCCTGATAACGCCTGCCAAGTATGGCAACTAAGGTGAAATGAGGCAGTGGGGGTGGCCTATGTTTAGAAGTGGACTTACTTTACTTTAAAATTAAGTTCGCACTTAATTTTGTTAAGAGGATTTTATGTAATAAGGGGACGCTAAGCCTATAAGCTCTACGTTACATGCACAGCTTATGGGCAGTAACAATCCGAATTTGATTAGGGCTTTCACAGTTATGAGTATTTAACGCACTACAACCAATTGTAGGGCATATAATTTTTATGATAATGGAATGTTAGCAGTAATTAACAATTAAGTTATTACATGACGATTATAGTAATTGACTTACAATATTACATCATTCAATTCGAAATCCTCCTCTTGTTGTTCGAAAGTTTTACGTCTCCCCCTCCTGTCCCATCGAGGTCTCCCAGCATTGTAAATAACCGTTTTTATGTAGATATTGTGAATGATGATGGTGATGATGACCACGTGACTTGATGATCAAGATTATAAATCCTCCAGACCGAATTTCGGTCACGGCGACCAGTCTTACCGGAGACTAGCCATCTGCGCAATACAGGATTATAGTGCCCAAGTGTATGACGCAAGCAGGTGTACTAGGGTTGCCAGATGGTCAGGATTGGTCTGGATTCGCCCGCCATTTTAAATGGCCTCCAGACTTCCGACATTTTAAATGATCTCCAGACTCCCGAAAAAACCCAAAATCTCCAGACAAACAGCTTCTTGGAAAGTTGACGTATGCCTTTTGACTTAATAAAAGCTGAGTTAGTAATAAGACTGAACTTTGGAGTAAATTTTATTATTTACAATAAGAATTCGGAAAGATTCTATTTGTTGAAAATGCACCAGTATAAATTAATATAAAGGTGGGCTAACATTGGCCGTATTTTTTGCATGATCAATTCGCAGTAACGGACAAAGCGCTTTTGTAAAGTGATTAAACAACAAAAAGAATTCATAACAACTGTTTGGGAAATTCTCACGTGTTCCATACGAATGACATTGGCAGGCTTGGCTTGGCTTGCACCTGCAGTAGCTACTGGTATAAGAAATGCCTCCTTATTTATGTTCATTACGTATAACACGTTCGCGACTAATTACTTCAATTCACACAAGCAATTGCTATTATATATACATTTTTCTAACACTTATTTGTATTAAGTTAAAAAGGTGAATTTATGTGTAGAATGTTTCGTGATGTGATACTCCAATTGTTTAATGAAGCGCAGTAAAGTGGACGCATTAAATAATAATTAATTAAATGTAGAAAAAAGGTTTTACAATTTTCAGTTTGCTTCATAAATGTAATTTATAACTAACAGGTACTAGTGGATACGCAGCGTGTGTTACTACGGTAAAAAAAGAAATTAATTTTGTTTATTTCTTGGAAAAAAGGGATTTTATTTTATTTTATATAATTCATTGTTTCAGTGGTCTAAAACCATCTTCACATTATTGCCTTTCTAATGAAACCTGTTTGGGGTCAACTCTTGAATGGTTTAGTCTATAACGGACATACATAGAAATATTTCTTGTGTTTTATGTAGATGGATTGTACTCCAGTATATTATTGAATTATACTATACTCAGTACGCTTTAGTTGATTATAATGCCTTGAAATACTGGATTTAAAAAGAATTAACAAAATAAAGAAAATAGAGAGAATGGAAAATTTTATAACTAATGTAGGTATCTTGGTGTACTTACCGTACTTAACATGGATTCGAGCGTTAGCATCCGGCATCCATGCTTGTGCTGTCGAAGCTAAAAGGACCAGGACCGCTCGAGCGACGGCCATTTTGGATTAGTACCTAATCCTCTCTATACACGCCATCTTCTACTGCATCCTGTAACAAGTAATACTGATTTAAATCTATTCTACGTTACCTATATTGGTTGATGGTGTGTTACTGGGTTTGTACGATTATAGGGATATAAGTGACAGTTGAAATTAGATAGAGGATAAGGATAACGAGGTATTACAACCTTATTGCATGTTACAAGTTAGAAACCATTAACAATCATAAAAATGTATTCGCATTTGTGGATTAATTTCAGGCAAATCAGATGTTACTGGCTTAATCTCCGAACAAATTGTAATGTGTTTGAAAATGCATTTATCATCTAGGTTTTCCCCGTTACTTCTGCGTCACTTAGGAAAGCTATACTCGAAATGGGGAGCAATATATAGTTATTGGTAATTGTGCATATTTTTGCGTGGAATTCATTATTTTTTTGTAATAATGGTAGGTAAGTTGCTGTGTGGTGGCTCGGTAAAAATTTATCACAACGTTACCTTCTGTAAATATTTGAAAAACTACTACAAGCTAAATGCTGCGCAATTTTAGAGTTTATGTACATATGGCATAATGACTTAATCTAGAATAAACACTAGACTAGTGATTATAAGCAGCCCCTAAAGCACGACAACACCATTAATATTGCTATCACCGAATCGCTTCCGCAGCGGTCAATGCAGTGAGATTGATTAACAACTATAACAAACTGAATTTTTTTTCTTTTATTATATTTTAAACTAGCTATTCTCACAGGACCTCGTTCGAGTGGAATTTATTACAATTGGATTTCGTGGGGTTTTTTAGCGCAATACCATCATTCTTTTTCTAAAATAAAAGTAGTCTAAGTTACTCTTTATAACATCAGCTATCTGCCAGTGAAATTCCCCGTCAAAATTGGCCCAGCTTTTTCGCAGATTAGCCGGAACAAACAGACAGATAGACTGACAAAAATTTTAAAAGTTGTTATTTTGTTGTAAGTACCGTACATACTTTCATACGCATTTAATAAAGAGCTGTTATGAGGATACATTGAAAATGGATCGTAGTTTTGGGGCTTATTCCTTTGTCGGTGAAGCTCACACACAACTAAGGGAGTGTCAAAATGAAAGTGACGCATTGACTTCATAATTCGCAAATTAAGGGGATAGAGTAAGTCAGCTCAAATTCTAATTTCGTCCCCACTTGCCCGCGCGTCGTATGCTATGTACCGACATGTTTGTAATCACTAATACTGTAAGTAGAAAGGTCGTTAGACACTTATTTCATTAGAATCACGCTTCAAGAGGCCGATAGTTTAGGTAATTTCTTTTTACAGTGAAAATAATGGTATTTAAAAAAAAGTAAATAACATAAGCAGGGCTTTATAGTTAGTTCAGTTAGTATGCAAAGTTTCATGATCTTATTTAAAGTATTTTATGAATAACAGCGGTTTATTGTTTATTTTGGAGGTAACTTTGGATTTTTTTTCTATCGAGAAAATTTTACGAAATCATGTTTTCGTCTAACATAATCCTTAACATTAATCCTCAACTTTACCATATATTTATTTCAAAATTAATGCTGCAATATTTTCGGCATAACGAAGGATCTTGCTAAGCCATTTGAGATTATATTTCCCTTTAAGAGATAGCTGTAATGAGCACACGCTCGGAAAAAAATAAGTAAACGCCAAACAAGATTTTTAGTTTATTTAACTAAACTTCGTTAAGGATTAAATAAATTGTTTATAAGAACTTAGATATTATTATTTACTGTGCTTTAAAATTAATTCCATGAATTTATTCATAAAAATATTGTGCTGTCATGGAGAAATGTAACTAATTAGAGCCTACTTTGCATTTTTTTATATATCGTGTTTTCCTTTCATGCAATCCAAGGGCATATAGTCAAAAATCATATACCAAAATTTGGTTTTGTAATCTGTAAAACTTAAAAAAAATATGTGAAATAGAAAAACCACGAAATTTTCGCGGTAGCACCTTAATTTGACATTACAAACAGACAGTTAAACTTTATTTATTTGTATAGATGTCTGCAGATATGTCTAGTAACAGCGGATCACTATTGACTTAAAATAATGATACTATATACTAATGGTAATGATATAAGAAGAAATAATTTTTTAAATGGTAGAGCCATGCTGCAGTTACATTAGGAGTATAGATGTGGCACAAATGGGTCGGTTCGACCGGGGAAGGGCCACGATCTCACAGAATACCAGCGTAAAATAGGAAGAATTAGCAGCTCTAACCCGATCACTGTTACCCTGTGTAGAAACGGACCCCCCATTATTTACGTGGTAGAGCCATGCTGCAGTTATATTAGTATTAGCATGAATGGGTCGACTCGACCGGGGAAGGACCACGCTCTCCCAAAATAGCAGCGTGAAATAGAAGCTTAACGCTCCTGTGTTTCGTATGGTGAGTGTAGAGAACCGGAGACCCCTTTTACCGGAAACGAGGCATTCCATCTTATTCCTCACGGGTGAGTGACAACGCATCTGCATTTTGATTCGTAATCGAGGATAGATGTAGATGTCTATGGGCCACAGCAACCATCAGGTGGACTGTGTGCTCGTTTGTCACAATATACTATAAAAAAATAAGAATGAAAAATATCGACACTACATATTGTTCAATGTATTATTATCTTTATGTTCTTTAATAAGTACTTATACACGATGATGTCTCTGAATACGGAAAGATAAAGAGTGTAAATAAATACCAATGTATCAATGAGCAATCACAGTTGTACTTGAATAATAACATTAATTGACTGATGGTTATTTGTAATATAAATAAATATAATGTGTCTTTAGTATTCGTAATTTGGGTTGCCGCAATATTCGAGGTAACATCAAAACAGAAAAGGCTTCATGAAAGATTTGGTTTTTGAAGTGAAACTTCTCAATTTACGTGGTGGAAAAATTTAGTACGGTATTTAAAAAAAATCACGTTTCCTTGTAACGTTCCACCACTGGGGCTCGCTGAGTATACTATTATTTAACCTACTAATGTAAACCATAAAACAAAAGAAGAATGATATGTCGTAAAGAAGTTTAACTTCGTACGTGTGTTTAAGGCTGTTGCCAATAATATGAATCGTATGATTAAAAAATAATTAATCTTAAGATAATCATATTAATAAGAAAAAAAATATTCGTCCGATTATCGTATGCTTCCATTGCTTGAGTACTTCACCAATTAGTGTTTGTTAAATACATTTTTGGCTTTGTTATTCGTGCCCAGTTATTTATAGAACTTATTCGGTTTTTAGGATGTATATCTAAAAGTAAAACAATCCATTAACAACTTATTAAGCCTTACGTAAATAGAGCGTTTTAGCACTCTGCAACTCTATTCTAGTGCACGAGTAGCAACCCCAATAGTGCATTTTGCATTTGGTGTTATAAATATAGGTGTACTCGTATTAGGTACCCACATAATTGTTGTTATTTTATAAAACCAATAATTCGGAATAATGTTTAATATTAATAAGAAACAATTTTAAGTTTTTTGAACAGTATTTTTGTTGCAATTAAAGTCAAACAGTTATATTATAAAAATATGAGAATTCGTGGAATTTATTTTTTATTTTTACTATAACTGGGCACTATGATTAGCAAGCAGCGTGTGAATACCGCTACTTTTATGGGAAGAATTAAAATACGTAATATTTAAAAAAAAGGTTATATGTTTGAGAAGTATTTATAAGTGGTAGAGACACGCTGCAGCTATATTATTGGTATAGCTGTAGTACCAATGGGTGGGCTTGACAGGGGGAGGACCGCGCTTTCACAGAACACCAGCATAAAATAGCAGCTTAACGCTGCTGTGTTTCATATGGTGAGTGAGAACCGGAGACCCTTTTACTGGAAACGAGTCATTAAATCTTAGTTCTCTAGGGTGATAACGCATCTGCATTTTGGGATGGTGTGCTTGTTTTATACCCTTGTCCCATCCTTATCCTATAAAAAGTGCACGGCTTATAATTTACGTCACACACAAGATGCAAGAAATATGCAACATGCGTCCTTGTGTTTCAGAACAGGATGGCTCGTATCTCACATTCTAGTTTTTTTTTAAACTCGTATCTACTAGCCTTGTTACCGTGGGAATACAAGTTAAGTTTTGTCAAGCTAACGTCGTCGAGTTCGAGAGTTAATCGATACAACGTCTATGTTTACATTATGATAGTAAGTTATCTCAAAAACTTTTGAACGAGTATGTATCACTAGCTTTTAAAACTTATCGCGTTCAGAATATACGTCATATTATAGTTGTAAATAAATAAGGCAAAATTTAATCTATGTTTTTTTATAAGATAAAACGAGTATATTGAAAATCAATGCTAATGTGAAAGTGAACAATGTGGGTGACGCGAAGTGAGCTAAAGGGTTGAAAACGTCAATATAACAACAGATGTCGCACAAAGGATAAACATAATGTGGGGGACGCTACGCTTACACTCACTCTATATTTAGTGTTATAGTTCGAAGCTATGTTTAAGTGTTCCGGAGTATCGCAGTGTTGGTATGCTCTATAACCTGTTAGTGTTAATTCCTTTACTGCTATATATATATATTACGCTTGTGAACCTATAATTTATCGGTGCTGGATCTACCGGCGCAATTAGTGGGTTAAACAAACGAGCGGTAGTCGAACGATTGGTAAAGTAATGTTGAGATAAACACATTTTTAATATGGTAACAACTAACGGTACGCTGGGTTTAAAAAAACAACTTGCATAGATAATAAAAGCATTATCTATAATAATTATTCGAAAGAGTGCTTAAGTAGGAAATTACTGGCACACAATGACATTAACTACCAAGTGGAAATAATTTCAAATATTATTTCATACCGTGTTGAAGTTCTAAGCGTATAGCAGGTATAAAACATTTTTTTATCCTGCGGTTTTGTTGTCATAAAGTCAAAAATACGTA